TTGGAGAGATACAATAGCATCTAATATGTGGGCAGATGCACTAGGAGCTGGAAGTCAACGATGATAAGGTATGTTATTAGTGATCCTACTTTGAGTTTAGATTCATTTTCTTGTTTTGAGTTATATCTAGTTGATTGTGATGATAATGATCAGATGACGAAGTTAGGTGACGTGACGGAGTTTCAGGTTGGTGTCACGACGAGAGAAAACGTTGTTTCATGTCTCTCATCATACGTTTGATTATCTTTGGAGGAGTTTGTTATCCAAACATATGTTTTTTTTATAAAGATGATACTCATGATACGTTATTTTATTATGTTTGGATTTTGTTACTTGAGTTTGTTATCCAAACATATTTTTTTTTTATAAGATGACACCTTTGCAAAACCATGAAGTTTTAAAAAACCCATAAAGATAAAACCTTTGTAAACCCATAAAGTTTTAAAAACCTTTGTAAACCCATAAAGATAAAAGTAAATTATATTACAAAATGGAAAATTAAAAAAGAAAGTCATTCTTTTATAAAATATCAGAAAATATTATTAAAAAAAAAAAAAAAAAAGTTGTCCCACGGAATAAAACCTAGTACCAAGTGATAGCTTTAACAACGACAAAAAAAAAAGAAAAAGAGGAAAGTACATGTTGTTATAAGATCAAACACATTTGGGTCTACGAACATTTTACATAAAAAAATAAATTAGCGGCAGCGTCAAAATTGAGTCAGCCCAGCCAGTTAATACTGATAGTCTATGTTAACGATCCTAACTTATTTCCACGATATATTTTTGGAGAAATGATTCGGGCTGTACAAACCCAAAAAAAAAAAAAGAAATCCCCACGAAAAAGCCCAATAGATGATTGTTAAGCAGTTCATTAAATGGCCCAAATGATTTGTTCTCTTTGTATAGCAGGCCTTGGGGCGGAGACGTATAAGAAGAGAAGAAGTTGCATGTTCCCATGTCCAGTAGTCGTACTTGTAATCAACAATTATTTATGGCCATAGGATGTGATTTGGTATTTTGACCAACAAATAAAAAAGGGATGTGAATGTGTAATTCGAGAGAAACAATAAATGGAAAGAGTATGAATGAAAAATACAAGAGGATAATAGATATCTAGTCTTTTTTTTTTCTTTTAATTTGCTGGATAAAAAAGGAAATACTTATCAAGGATTAGTGTTATGACTCAAAAATCATAAATGTTTTGACGACCTCATAAATACTAGTAATAATCTTGAAAGAAAGAGATATCATCATATATATGTGTGTAATGCGTGTGAGTCAGTAGAAGACAAAAGAGAAATTGGCACAAAAATTCAACACAAAAGACAGAGCAAATCCACGAGATATATACACACACGCACTTACGCTCACAAAAGCATGTTCCAAAACTTTTGATAGTGATCGGAAATGGAACTGATGGCAAATATCAACAACAATATTTTCTTATTACTAATAAACAAATTTCTACACATATAAGGAGTTCTATACAGCAGTAGTACAATTTAGTTTTGTAGTACCACCATGTTGTTGTTGTTGGGAGAATTAAGGCAAAAGAAAGTAAAAAAAAAAGAAGTTCGGGCCGAATAACAACACATAGGAGGCCCGTTAGTCAGATTGCAGACAGGAGAGCCCAAATGATAATCAGGTGATCTCTCTCTCTCTCTCACGACTCAATGTACAGTAATTAGAGGAAGAGAGAGGAGAACATAATCTAACACAGAATCGATGATAAAAATGGAGAGACCATCTCTCACTCACTCACCTCCTTTCTTTAATTTATTTTATTTTGTTTTATTTATTTTCCACGTAGCGTATAGCAAAGGCCGTCTCTCACATAATGTCTTCCCTTCCTATAAAGGATCCCACTCTTCACTCTCTCACTTTTCTCACCTCAAACAAAAAGTCTCTCTAGCTACTCTGCTACTAACTACTAACAGCAACAGCAAACAAGAAAGAGAGCGGAACCAGATGGGTAACTATCGGTTCAAGCTGTCGGAGTTAATCCCTAACGCATGGTTTTACAAACTGAGAGACATGGGGAAGTCGAAGAAACATCATAGGCCCCCAAACAAACACCTCTCTCCTCCTACTCCACGCTTTCGTCCTAGCCCTTCCACTCCACGCTCCGCCGGCCACCCTCTTCTTCACCGTCCCACCGTCGACTCTAAGTCCTCCACGACTTCCGCCGACAGCTCTGCCACCGGAACTGGTTCCTTCTCACCGGAGTTTCGCACAGATCAAGCTCTCCTCCCAAACAGCCCTTGCAGCTGCTCCAAGTTATCCACCGATCTCCGGCCGATCATTACCAAACCTGCCACCCCGGCACGAAAACCAGCGGTGAGTTCTCCTGCGGGGGTGAGACGTAGGCTGCGCTCGCCGCGGATCTCGACGAGGAAATCAGTATCGGTGAGGAGAAGCGGAGGCGGGACGTCGGCGAGGCGGAGCAGGGCGGTGGTGAAGGCATCGGTGGATCCGAGGAGAGACTTTAAGGAATCAATGGAGGAGATGATAGCAGAGAACAAGATAAGAGAGTCAAAGGATCTGGAAGAGCTTTTGGCTTGCTATCTCTGTCTCAACTCCGACGAGTATCACTCTGTTATCATCAATGTCTTCAAGCAAATCTGGCTTGATCTTAATCTTCCTCCCAATTTTTCCTAATTATTCATATTTTTACGTCTTTTTTTTTTGTTTCTCCCCCCTTAATTTAGTAATCTCAATAAGATGTAAATATATACTAGTATGGTTTTAATTCATTATATATTCTTGTACTAACTATATATATATATATATATATATATGCATGGTCGCCTAGAGTAGAGAAGAGCCTCCTCCTCCTATATATATATATAGTTTGCGATGAGAGTGTTTTTGATTTGTACTTGTTGTATAACCAAAACGGCCATTCCTTGAAACCCAAAGTACAGGAATGGGCGCAGAGTACTACGGGACGGGGGCTCAATTCTACTACTTACTTAATCTGCGCGGACGGACACAAAGCAATAGCGTTTTTGTTACTTTTAAATGTGGATATATGGACGGCTGTTGATTATTCATTTGTCAGGTGACAATTATACTGTCCGGCCATGTATTTACAAACTACATCTTTCTCACGAATCTAAAAATAAAGAACTGATTTAGAGAGACTCTTCTCATTAAATTAGTATGCATTGTACAGTTCGTTCTAGTATGCTACAATTTTACTCACCGGGCATGTTATGAAGTTGAGACCCAAGAAAATAATAATGATGATTTAGAAGACACATGCATAATAATAATAATAGTAAACTAAACGTTTGGTTTTTATTAGACATAACGATACCGACAATTCATTAAAACAGCATCTGCGGGTATTTTCATACCTAACTTTGGATATGTGTGTACGTGTGCATTTCTTGATTTCACATCTTTATTTATATCCCTGTAACTAGTTCACTTTTTTTGTCTTTGTTTTTTTTTTATGGTGACCTTCTCATGTATAAATAATACTAATATAAATAGTATATATGCATGCATTGCATACCGCTACCGCATACAAACAAGAGTGCGACAAGCAAGAAGAAAACAAAACATTTTTGCTTTTAGGCATAACTAAAGTGCCAAAGAAAAAAACAAATTACTACTAGCATTTTTAATTTTATTTCGGTGATGGCCTCAGTGGCAAATGACGAGACGAAAACATATCTATCTACATATATAGAGACGAAAACAGTAATTCATGGAGTTATAATGAATACAGTACGTACGGCCAAATTTTGGCAATGTCTTCTCCTTTGTATCCCTTATCGATGCTATATTACTGTCGTCACTTTGTTTAATGTAATGATCTACGATGGGATTTTGGTTTATTAGATGTAAACCATCTAATTTTAAGAAATAATGAATTCAAAAAAAAAAAAAAGATCTTAAGAAATAACAGACAAAAAAAAAAGGAACTGAAAATGAATCGCCTCTCCCGCGACACTAAACTGGCAAAGTAAATATTTTTAGTTAGCATATAATATATAAATATTTTTAGTAAGCATATATTATACGAAACTTGCTCTTTGATTTTTTCACCTATATGCGTTCAAATATTCAATCCAGGTCTACATATCCTATATATGTCTTCTTTTTTTCTATATCTCGTTTTTCATCATTGCCACTGTAATGACATTTTTTTTCAAATTTCATTATCGACATATATATATATATATATATAATCCATAAATATTGTTTTCAATTTTACATGTTTAAATCATTATTAAAACACTAAAACCAAACAAAGAATTATCATAGATGGGATAAATTCAAAATTATATGTTGTAAATTTTTCATTGTAATAACATCAACATATACGGAATTTAAGATACCACAGTTATATATATAAAACATGAGGGGTTTTGTACTGAAACATAGAAATTAAGTATTGATTAACATATACATACATGTGCGGAGGCAAAAAAGTGACTATTACACTGACTGAAGTTTAAAGTTGGGACCAAAAAAGATGAATTAAAAGGTACCCAAAATATATCTATCTTTATTTCATTACGATATTTTATAACCCTAAACAAATAAATAAAAAAAAGTTACAAAAGCTTTGTCGGGCACGCCGGCAATATACTTCAACGAAATTTGTTGATAACTTCGAAGAACAACACCCTGATTTTGTATTTATTAATAATTTCTTTCTTTCTTATACTTTTCCGTTTTTTTATTGAATGTTTAAACTTTTTACACACAGATTAATTAAACATATAATTTTTCTATTTTCTATAAAAATATCATTAATTTGTACACAAAAAACATTAATTAAAATAAATTATCTAATAAATTTTTAAAAGATAATATATGATTGGTCGAAACAATATTATAAATAATTAATTTTTACATAAAAAAAAATAAAAAATATCATTTAAAATAAAATAAAAAATATTTTTGGCTAAAATATCAATAAAAGAAAAAATTGAAAAGAGTATATAACTTGGACGTAGCTAAGTTCTGCCAAAAAATATCGAACACTTAGAAACAAATAAGATCTTGGACACTAAACTTCGAAACATAATATATATATATATATCGTTTCTTTAGACTGGTGGTGGTGTCAGTGTGAAATATTGATACCCCCGTGTGATATGAGTGTGATGTACCCCAGGCAAGGCCAAGGCCACCACTATGAAATTTTCAAAATCGGAAATTCGGACATATTTGATTTAATGACTTTGACTTTTACTCCTCAAACATATCAACATTCAAATTTACATTTTACTTGTTTCCGCAAATATATCATATACATACCCAAAATAAAAAAATAAGAGTTGCGAATTCTGAATATGATTGTATAAACTAACTTGGATTATATCTATATATTTAACTATGAAAAAAACGAAAAAAAGTATTTTGATAGAAGAACTGCGACGTCTCATAGACGCGTTTTCTATTTGGAATGATATATAAAAGACGTTTTTATTCTGTTGTCTCTCCTTTTTTTTACATTATATATATCACTTTACTCAAGGCACCTTTTTAAGATAAATAAGTGGTTTCTAATCCCATAAGGCTGCACGACTTTCTTTTTTCGTGAAATTTCCCATTCTTCTTTTGTTTCGAAAGCAGTGGTCTATTTCATAATCTCTCAAAGATAGATAGAGAGAGAACTCGACAAGTATCCATCTGCACACGTCGACGAGTTTAATTATTTCTGAAAAAAATAGAAAAACAAATAATATTAGGATTGAAGTGGCCAGTGGGAATAGAGCAGAATACAGTAGTTGCAAATAGAAGTACTCTTAATATCATTCAGATATCTTATTATATTTTTTAAAACAGCGTTAAAGTCAATAATGTTATACAATGTTATATACTTATATATATGCATTCAAAAAATATCACATAAAAAATAGTTATCCTCTGCATGATTTCTTAAAAAAATAAAGATATTATATATATCTTACTTATTGTTATTGTGAAACGTAATTAAAGGAAAGTAAAACCCATATCAGCTTTGACTATTTGGAGTTACGAACTATCTCAGATGCGTTTAATAGATTGTGTTGTAGTAAAATGTTATCAATGTGTTATGGATTTAACTTAAAAGAAGTTGCTCGAGAGATGTATTAATGGCGAACGAATATACTTGTCGGTGTGAGCCGCATGTTTAGACTCGGTCAACGACCATTTAACCCAACTTTGCCTTTGAAATCGATATTATCCGACATGATCACTCACCAGAGATTCTGCGTCTTGTTACCTTGTCTCTCTCCGCCGTCCAATCCAAATTCTCGGTTCGAATGAAATTAATCTGTTGCACTAAACATACAAAAAAAAATAGAAGAGAAATACTAAAGTAGTACGTATACACTAGTAGATTACATTTAGTCTCTCAGTAAATTAATCGAACCGGTTTCTTTTTGGCTATTAATGCATGGGGTGGTGAGTTATAATAGTAGTTCGTTCTAGTTTCGACCACCACAATCACCATCGTACGAACGAAACAAATTTGGAATGTTTTATTTTTAATTTTTTTTGTTCTTCGTATTTTTCTGCATTTTACATTTGTGTGTGTTAATTGGAAAGATATAAAATCACCGGTCGTATACTTACAATTCGTAACAATTCAATGAAGAAGACTTTGGCAAACATTTAAGTCGTACCTAGCAAACATATTACTGCATAATTCTTCTACTTTAAACCGATAAGGCCGACTGTTACAAAGTTTGGCAAACATTAGAACTCCTAATATCTATCTATAAACAAAGTTTGTAACAGTTCAACAAAATAAAAATAATATTAATAAGGAAGGTAAAAAAAAAAAAAAAAAGGTAAACAAAAAACAACTACACTAAATTGTATTATGTTACTTATTATTTTTACCTATCATCGCTACGTCAATTGTCATATCTTTTATGAAATTTGATTCTTTGCCTAAAATAATCACAGTTTAATAATATTTTCGTATTTATTTGGATAACGACAATTACTCAACCCGAATCGTATGTGATCACTATTTCTTCTCTTTTCTTTCTTATCTCTTTTAACTTAATCACATAATTAATTATAGACCAAATTCACAAAATTTTTAATTATTATATAGGATATACTTATTTTTTCTATTAGTTTCAACTTAATCAAATATTATGGAATTCAAAGGCATACAACTTTTAAAGGACCGAGGAACCTCGATCGCCGGTTGTCACTAATATTTCATATTTACGTTCATAGATTTCATATTGTTATTTGTTAGTATGAAAAAAAGAAACGTTGGTGGCAATACTTTCGTAAAATTTGTGGTTGTTGTTGTTTTTTAGAATTTTAGGTGTCGTATAAAAGTTATAATTATATTTTTTCGATTTTTTCTGCCTACATTTGATAAATATTATTTAAAAAATATAGAATGCACGTGTCTTTGGTACGTCCATGCAAAACTAGCAATTAGAGACGACGAAGAACGAGGAGCAGCCAAATCCTACATGAATTGGACCACTCTTTTTTTTTTTCCTTATAAAATCAGTGTCGTTTGTTTGTTTTTTTTGAATTGTTAAGGCAAAACTAAAAGTCTACTGTTACACTAATTTAGTTTTCACATATACAGCTAATTCTAACATTTTTCATGTGGAACTTATATGTTTTGAATTAATGACCGTTTTGGTACATTATTGGAATAACTATTAGTGCATTTTGATGTGATGTTTAAGATCAAAATATTTTATATACACGAAGATTTTGTTAATTATTTTTGTGGTTCAACCAACACCTTTAGAATAAATATATAAAAGTATTAAAAAACTTTTTGCTGCCTAGTTATTCAATTATTGGTTGAACCACCCCTATTTCTCTTCGCATTTAATTTTTACACTAGTTACCAAAACTTACTTGATTTATTATGTCTAGGTATCACCCACCCACCTAGCATTTCGTAGTTACAATTAACAACTATACATATATATATATATATATATATATATATATATAGGCAGGAAAATATGGCGTGAAGTGAAGACTGAAGACCAAGTGGGGTGATACTGATATATGTTTGTGTTAACCACAACAGTCTCATATCATCCAGGCAAATCATTAATGAAATCAAACAAAGAAACATCAAATCACTCATTTCGAAAAGATTGTGATCAATTTCATTCAAATCAAATGGACTATTAGATTAGTATCATCAGATACTTATTACTAGCTAGACCCTATCTATAGTAATCGGAGTACTCCGAACACACTTAACCACAGTAACGTACGACGAACACGAGTAATTATTACTGTACCGTACGACACCTTTGCAAATTATATCCCAAAAGTTAAATTATATTCGCACGGGAAAAGAAAAAAAAAAAAGAATAGTTCAAATTATAAGATCCATTAGTGCATTGATTGTTTAGTACGTAATAACTGTTAACCACTAAAAGACATAGGGGGTGATCTTATAAAACAAAAATGTCTCTTCAAGTAGTTTTCTTTTAATTTTTAACTAACTAAACTTCCTCCAGGATTTAAATAAAAGATGATTGCATTACTAATTAAATTTACACAAGACAAGAGTAACAGCATCATCATCAGTAGAATCGAGAACCATGGTGGGTGAGGTGGGCCATTGACTTGGTTAGAAATGAAATCCAAAAATATGTGCAAAATGTTATTGGGCCTGGTTGGTCCATTAGAATAATATAACGGGCCATCTCTCTCTCTCTCTCTCTCGCAATAAGACACGTCACGTCATCTACACGTGGCGTTAGCATATAGGTCAGTCTTTCAGGGTATATACGTATGGACTTGAAATATATATATATTGACAAACACATAGAGTAATCGACCTAGCTCCTTACAAAAGAAAAAATGAAGAATACGAAAGTGATTCTTCTCTTTTATCAACATAATTACCTTCTATGTCAAAATATCGTATGTAAAATATTTATATTCATTGTTTCACATCTAGATAAATTTATACACACAAGTATCGTTGCAGTTTACACAACTATAGTCTATACATGTATATATAATTCGTTAAAGCATAATTTGTTAACTTTATCATTAGTTGTACAATTTATATTACATATATCACTTGACAAGTTTTTATTGAAAAACTGATATCTTGATAAACTATTTTCTTTTTTGTTTACTTATATACAACTCTATGATTCACATAAGATACATATAAGTGTACAAGGGATTTTCTGTAGATTAGTGCTATTTTTTGTTTGTCATCAGATTAGTGGCTATTAATAAGTTCTTAATGTTTGGACAAAAGTAATCGATTCGTTTAGAGACTACGGAAAACGAGAGAAACAGTCGAATATTGTTTTTATTGATTTAGAATATCAAATAGCAGCTACAAGAATCAAAGCACAATGAACAATCTATGAAATCTTGTCAAGTTTTCAGAGTTGATTCGTGTGCCTTGAAGGTTTAGAGAGTCTCTTGAGCTCTTTTTCTCTTCCCCAATTGTGCCGATGTAGCTCTCCTTTTATAGAGAAATCCTCTTAAGCTAATCCTCATGGGATTGGGCTAAGAAACCGCCTTTTCACAAGATAATCACGCCTTTTTTCCTATTTTCGTGGTCAGATAAGGTTGCTTCATAACAGAACAAAGTCGGTCTATTAATCTTGCTACGGCCCGTATCGGCCCGCATCGACCCGTATCGGCCCGTTTCGGCCCGCATCGACCCATATCGGCCCAATTCCTATCGTTGGCCCGTTTTGATAGAATCTTCTAAAGAATATCCACTTGTTTTATATATATATATACATTTCATCATATTTTCAATAGAACTTATCTACTATAATTTATATGATTAAAATTATGTCCAACACTTAACACTACAAAAAATTTCTTTAAATATTCTAAACTTTTAAAAAATTGTACTGATGATTAATGCTTTTAACTTAGATTCTAATACCTTCGTTGATATTTTTTAAAAAATAATGGCATTGACATACAAATCTTTTGCTTTAAAGTCTTTTTTTTTAGTACATTAAAGCTTAAAAGAAATAAGAAAAAACTCGTTACTAAATGGGTTGAAAAGATCACTTGATAGTTGTTATTTTTTTTTTGGTCGAGTTGATTGTTTTTAATTAAAGCAAAACATAAAGATTTTTCCATTTCAATAAAACAGCCAGCTAAGTAATGTGGAGGAAAATAAATGTAACGGATTTTGAATACAAAAAAAAAAACGAGAGTTTCGATATTTTGAGTTTGAAAACAAAAGATGAGTAAATGCAACTTGCTTAATCTTTGGTTTTTTAATAGAGAGATTCAGAAACAACTAAGAGTGGACTTAATAATCATGGTTTCCTAACAAAATATATATGACACATCGTATTGATAATAATTTCAAATAAAGAAAGAGTGAATTGAAACCGGCAGAAGTTAAAAGAAAATATTACCAAAATAAAGAGATTAATTGATAATCTACAAATAAGAGAGAAAAGGAAATTATGTGTAGAGGATGGAAATGGGGAAAAAAGAAAAGTGATAAAAGCTAAAAGCTAGTAGTAGTAGAGAGAGAGAGAGGCATTGTAATAATAATTAAATCTTGAGGGAAGATACATTATATATAAAAGAATCAAAGACATAAGGCAAAAAATAGTGTCAATAAGCCGTTTCCTTGAATGTTACTTTCTAAAATTGGGATTCTATACCATAATCATGAAGATTTTTTTATTATACATTAATGATTTACTATTAGCCCTATATATGGAACTATTCATAATTACAAGCACCCCCCGATCTTGTTCAGACACATATTGCTCGAGAGAAGAAAATAGGTCTAATAAGTCTTTTGTTCCCTTTAATTTGAGCATATGGAACTCAACCTCTCCACGCCCACATCATGTTCCTCCAGCAGCATCTCGTCATCCTCGCATCATGAGATCATCCCAAGTACCACCAAGGGCCGGAAAATGAAAGAGAAGGTGTCAGCCGCTGAGCCACCGATGGAGACGACTCCTCGGCTAGAGTTCCGCTTCCTGTTCGACGAGAGTATAAGAAACTCTGGTTTTGGAGATGAGGCACAAGAAGGGACGAGGGCGGAGCCTAAAGCGAGGGTGTTTGCATGCACCTTCTGCAAAAAAGAGTTCTCTACGTCGCAAGCCTTGGGAGGACATCAAAACGCTCACAAGCAAGAGCGATCACTGGCTAAAAGGCGTAAAGAGATCGAAGTAAACTATCCTGGACTCTCCTCCTTCTACAGCAACCAGTACCCCCCGCCAAGTGGCGTTTCCTACAACGGCAGCTCCTCCCACTATGATCTCGGGGTTCGTTACAATCCTAACATTGCTAAAACGTCTAAGCCCTATCCTTTCAACATCTTTAGATGTCGACTTGGTTACAGAGGGCTTAATATCCCTCTGCTTTCTCACCTCTCCGTTCCAAAGTCTGACGATTTGTCCACAAACTTGATTGCAAACCTAGAGGGCAGCATCAACGAAGACATCAAAGATGATCAACCCGACACTGATTCTGATATAGACTTGTCTCTCAAGCTATAGATTGCCTTTTTTTTCTTTTTCGGGAGGGTTATATTTTAGTAGTTTGTTTCTTGGTTCTGCATTTCTTTTTCTTTTTTGTTATATTCATTTCTTTTGTTTTTAAAATGAAGTTTATATTGGTTTCAAAGATTAAAAAACAAAAAAGTGACTTTGAATTTCCCTGGTCTTCTACTTAAGTACGTACTACGAACAAAAAAAAATACAAAAAGTGTTCATTAGTTTTATGTTAACTTCCGAATTTCAAAACTTCATCAAAAGCTTTTTGTGTCGATAACAGCTTGTATATTTGATAACTAAATAAATACTAGAATATACGCGACATTAATCCTTATGATATTAGAAATAGAACCAGTTAATATCATTTATGAATTGGATTATATATTACTATTAGTCTATTAGCAATCTGCATAAACAGCCAGAGAAAAAAACAATCGAAAGTGCTAATCAAAAGCTACAACTAAACCGTTACTCATACAGTACTATTTGACTTAAAAGAGTAATTAAAACTTGTGGTACGGGTGAGGTGTAAAGCTTGGGAAGAAAAGGTTTCAGTAATGTGATATCTGTTCAAGTAGACAGTTTACAATGCCACTAAAGGACATTTTGGGTTAAGCTAAATAAGCTCCTCTAGGATGAAAGAAAAGTCCTCTCTTGGGATTGGGGCTTAGTAGGTGAAGGTTGCATTCGATTACCCTCCACTAATAGCAGGACGCTCAACGGGCAAGCAAAGAGCGCATCAGACAGGAAAGGTGTGTGTGTCGCTGCATCAAGTCTGCGTTGGGATTACTCGTGAAAGAAAAGAATCTCAAGAATGCTGCCACTTAATTAGCCAGGCAAGTGTGGCGTCAAACTTCCTAACAGGATCGACCCTTCCAACAACTGCAACAGGTAGAAAACATTTTTACTAACCAATTCAGAGACGTATACATAACATCAGGCCAAGAATAAAGTAAAGGACATGTATTTGTCTAATCTGTGTAATATGTTGAACAAGACAGTGATCCAATCAAATATCATTCATCTTTTAGATTCTATATATTTATTTTTCCCTGTTCGTTCCCTAGTTTCTTATTCACGCAAATTAATTAAGTCTTGATTGATTTTTATTTCTAAGGGTATTGAATGTATTTGAAACCAACCTTAGAAGAACAAAGACAAACAATAAGAAAATGAAATAACAGTTTGTATGGATTGACTCTTTTGTGAATTGTGAGAGTAATGAAACAGAGAGTTGCTTCCGTACGTAGAGGCTTCCAAAAAGAGCAAAAATTAACCAACTTCTTTGTGATATAAACAGATTCAGACTAAATACTTTAAGGCCGTTTTGGTTTTTTGTTGTTTATAGTCTACTAGTATTAAACTGTCCCACTTAAAAGTAACACTTTTATTACGACATAACATAACCAAAAAGAAAAAAAGAAAAAGAAGATAATGGCATATGATGCTAGCTTTCACTAGAGTAGTCATATTTACACAATCGTACCAAGAAAAGAGAGAGTACAGAACCTAGTCTAGTCATATAATAATACCTCACCACCAAGACATCAAACTCTTGGATTTAATAATGGAGTTGCCAAATAAACGTGGGGCGGAGTTAGTGTTACACAAACCTCAACCTGGTTCACGGCTTACTTATAATTTCTCATAAAACAAAACAAAAAGAAAAACCAATAATTGAAATCTGAGAGTGGGCGTTGTTATGATTCACCAAATAGGTTGTTGCCACTTCTGATCATCCTTAAAAAGTTTGTGTCTTCTTCTCTCAGTGCTTTCTCTGTTGATGTATATATATACCTCTACTCTACTTTACTTTGATATTATTAATAAAGAGAAAGGAGATAAATTGCTATTATTAATGTCCTCTCAGGTTCACATTCAAAATTAATGAATGCATGCTGTTAAAAAAATATTGATATATAGATATAGTAAGTGATTATGTGTGTGTATGATTAAACATATATCATCTCTCTTTTAGAGAGAAGAGACAAACAAAATATCTCCCAAGTGCCAAGAACAGAGTCTGTAATTGTCTTCTTCTTAACTGTGATTTATTTATTTTGTCTTTTCCATGATGTTACATCTCTATAAAATTGTGCAATCATCCACATATGTCATATATATCATATAAACTTTAAATAGTAGTATATAAATGCCAAAAAAAGAAGAAAAAAGAGATAGAAGAAAAGGAGGAAGGTCCCCCACAGCCACGGTGAGTGTCTTAAAAGATAACCACAAACAAACCAACCCGCAGAGACATAAACCAAAGTTTGTAAAAAAGACTTTGGGGACTCCTCGTCACGTCTCTCCCCACACCACACGTTTTTTTGTGTCCTAAAGAAGAAGAAGAAGAAGAAGAGACTCCCTTTTATACTTTCTTTGTGGGATGCATCGACTGCTGCTGCTTGAATCCCGCGGCGGTAACGAGACGAGCGTCAGCGGCGGTGATGGGTACCTGAGGGACATGAACTTCGACGCCAACATGGTTATCATACTCGCTGCTCTTCTCTGCGCCTTGATACTTGCGCTTGGCCTGAATTCCATCCTCCGGTGCGCCATGCGATGCGGTTTGGGGTTATCACCATCTCGTTCTCGGACGACGACCATGGCCGTGGACGACAGAACTGGATTGAAGAAGCGAGAGCTGAACAAGTTTCCTGTGACCGCTTACGGTTCGAGCGACGTGGATATAGCGGCGACGGAGTGCGCAATCTGTTTGGGTGAATTCGCGGACGGCGAGAGAGTCCGAGTTCTGCCGCCGTGTAATCACAGCTTCCACGTGTCTTGCATCGACACCTGGCTTCTCTCTCACTCTTCTTGTCCTTATTGTCGCCATTCACTCATCCCCCCGCCGGGATCTTCATAGATATATTTTTTCTCAATAAAATAATTAACCCACCCAACTACTACTAGTATGCCCTAGTACATACGTTTATTACAGATTCCTATATATGTATGTAGCTAGTGATCTCTTAAAGTCTTCACTTGTTGTACTAGTTGCATTTATGTTGATGCCTACAAAATACGTAACCTCTCCGTTGCTGCTACTTGCTATGTTTTAATAGAGATACTGTAAGAGATATGAAACCCGAACGAATAAGGCCCATCTTATTTAGGCCTATTCACGTAGTCCGAAAAGCCCACAGCTGTCTTTCCTTGTTTGGCTTAAGGTTATGTCGCCGCCCTAATCGACCGACAGGTGAGTGGAGTGATGGGTGGTGATGATTCTCATTCTCAAGAGCAGAGGAGGAGGAGGAGGAGGTTAGGGGCGGTGTGGAAGCTTAAAGTTTGTGTGAGAGCCAATCGTTTCAGTTTGAAACTCAATCTACGTTCTTGGAAGCTTCACCGGTTGTCATTCTCCCTAAGATTCCGGAATCATCATCTCAAAGTGGATTCTCAATCCAAACACGATTGCGTCAGATTCCTACGGCGTCTCGCAATCTTCCGTAGGCGGAGGCGGGGAGAAGTGGATACGAAGCATCTCATGGCATTGGTTAGGAACCGAGCTGTGCTAATGGCAAAGAAAGCAAGAGGCGCGGGTGCCCTAACTCTAGTGATCATCATCCTTTTCAATTATCTAATGCCATGGACCAAGCTGAGCACCGAATCATTCCAATTAGGTTATGCGTTGTTTGGTATTAATTAAGAACTGATTAAGGCCATTTCAAAGTGTATTCTTTGTCCTACCCTTACAACATACAGCATTAATAATAATATACCACACCATATATATTGTACCCAATCTTGAAAGCAGAGAGAGGGTATCAAGATTCCGTCGTGGTGCCTTCGCGCATCAGCATCATCGGTTTTTAGCCTTTTAGCCTACCAGGCCCAACAAAACCTGTGTAATTTTTTTAAAAAGACTATTGGCCCAAGCTAAGGCCCACTTCTTTTTCTCGTTCTTCAACTGTTTCAGATGTCATCCCCTGATGTCCTGATGTGATGTGATTGGATTTGTTCAGTCAGTGTATCTCTCTTGTTTTGTTTTAATGTCAAAGCCTTAATTTGTTGGGGAGATGTTAGCCCATGGTGCTTTTGAGTTTTGAGAGTGGAAGCCAAAAAGTGGAAAAAGGCTGGTGAACAATAAACTTGTAATGGGATTTCAATTTGTAATCGTAAAATTCAAAAAAAAAAAGAATGAAAAAAAGGTAAGGTAAGGACCAAGGAAAATAATAAGTGAACTTACATAGTTATTACAGTATGTGCTTTTTTAGTGTCGTCTAACGAGGAGAATAAAGGAGAGACACGACATGAGAAAAGCGAAGACATAATGATATTAAAATGCACTAAAAAAGGAGAAATGTTTTGTATAACAAATCTCAAATCTGAATCGCCTATACTCTATTAGTATGATTACATTGAGGTAATCTTGTTTCGACATCTGTACGTTGCTCCTGACCACCATCTGTGATGGAGTAATGAATGTATTATGCATGGCTTAAATGTATGCACATTAGCTGACAAAAGTAAAATTTTAAAGTTTTGGGGTAATGAAAATGAGAAGTGAGTAAGAGCGTGGGGCACTCCAAAACCAATACAATAATGAAAGCATTACCGGAAAAGCTCATGCTTGGACCCTTGGCGACTTTCACTTCACAATGTGATGCAGCGCAGATATAAGATTCGAGGACGAATCTTTTCTTGGCCGGCGAGACCTGATGCAACGAGATATTTCAAATACCTCTTATTATTATTTTTTAATTTATTTATTATAATTATTCTAGAATATTCTTAATTTTAGGGTTTTATGCTTTATTATAAATAGGTTTCTTAAGCCTCCTATTGTATTCAGTTATTTTGATATATTGATTAATCGAAAGATTTAAAGAGGTTATTATAACCACTGTGAATAGTATTCACAAATTCAAGAGCTTTTGCGAAAGCCCTGAGAGGAGGACTCTCAAACCCTAGATTTCCGGGTATTCTGAGAATCAACGGATCTCTATTCCTATCCCTAAAAGCTTCCGCTCCACCATTTGGTATCAGAGCCAAAACGGTTCTTTTCATGATGCCTCCAAAGAATTTGCAAGACCAACAAAACGGACTACATGATGCTTTACGACAAGCATTACTGGATTTTACACAGAATCTTGCTAGAGCCCTTGAGGTACACTTTCAAGCTCAGCTTCAATTGATTGATCGACTGCAACAACAACAACAAGTTTTTCCTCGTGATAACCATCGATTCAATGAAGATGTTAAACCCGATGTTGAAGACGATGTTGATGATGAAGTTGTTGAAGGCGATAACAAAGATGGTGATGTTGTTGATGAGGATGATGATGGAAACGATGGTGATGAAGATGACAGCATGGTTTCAGAGTTCGTCTTGAAAGAGAAAGATTTTGTGAATCTGCTTTGTGCAGATACCGGGCGAAATCGGATATGTGCAAATTTCGGGCAAGATACGGTTCGTGCAAATTTCGGGCAAGATACGGTTCGTGCAAATTTCGGGTCAAACCGGATTCGTGCAAAATTTGTGCAAAATCAAAAGTTAGTTATTAAAATGGATCTGCGAAGATTTTCCTTGTTGAACACCCTGCTGAAGATTCGAGGGCGAATCTTTCTTGGCCGGTGGGAGCTGATGCAGCGCAGATACAAGATTCGAGGACGAATCTTTTCTTGGCCGGCGAGACCTGATGCAACAAGATATTTGAAATATTTCCAAATATTCTCAAATATCTTTAGTTATTATCTTTAGTTAATTATTTATTATTATTTTAGAATATTCCAAGTATTAGGGTTTTAAGTTTTATTATAAATAGAGACTTTTAGGAAAATTTGATGATTGATATTGATTTTGATTAATAAAGTTGAGAGGTTTTTCCTTTATAAACGAGCTTTCGAGCACGGGGAAGAGTATTCCCAAATTTATCCTTTTTATCGCTTCCGCTCTCCACCATTACCTGATGCAACAAGATATTTGAAATATTTCCAAATATTCTCAAATATCTTTAGTTATTATCTTTAGCTAATTATTTATTATTATTTTAGAATATTACAAGTACAGTAAAACCTCTATAAATTAATACTCGATAAATTAATAATCTCTATAAATTAATAAATTTCTCCGGTCCCAAGTTGGGACCAGTGCAATTTTAGACACATTTCGATAAAATAATAAGATAATATTTTTTTTGAAAATCCTTTGTAAATATATGGTCCCATCAATATTATAAATTAATAATTAGGTAAAATTTTCAAAATATATGTGTATATAGACACAATATTTTTTGTTAGAGTTTATCTCTAATATTTTACTATATAAAAGTTGTTAAAATTCTCTTTCAAGACATAATAATTATTATTTTCTTTGTTAATGATTATATAAAATACTAATTATCATGACTAAATCTTATTTTTAAATATCTTTTTGAAAAAACTTTCCAAATTAGGAAAATCTCTCTATGAATTAATAATTATTAATTTATCGATAAATTAAAACCTCTATAAATTAATAGATTTTCATGGTCCCAACATTATTAATTTATAGAGGTTTTACTGTATTAGGGTTTTAAGGTTTATTATAAATAGACACTTTTAGGAAAGTTTGATGATTGATATTGATTTTGATTAATAAAGTTGAGAGATTTCTCCTTTATAAACGAGCTTTCGAGCACGGGGAAGAGTATTCCCAAATTTATCCTTTTTATCGCTTCCGCTCTCCACCATTTGGTATCAGAGCTGTGTCTCTTTGATTTCTTAATCAATGAACGATTCTGGTTATCACATGGCAAGTGATTGCATCTACCCTATCATGGACGAAAGTCCTTTTATCGAGAGAGAGGAGAACCACCAGATCTACAGAGAAATTGTTGGTGATCCGATCTATGATGTTTATGAAGACGATCTGATTTGTGCAAAGTTCGGGCGAAATCAGATCCGTGCAAAATTTGGGTTTTCTGTAGAAATCATGAAACCACTGATTTGTGCAAGTTTCATGCAAGTTCCGACCTGTGCATCTGTCGAGGAGGTGATTTGTGCGAAATTTTGGTCAGATCCGGTTCGTGCAATTTTTGGGTCAGATCTGGTTCGTGCAAATTTTGGGTCAGTTACAGTTCGTGGAAATTTCGTATCAAACCGGGATTGTGCAAAAATCGAGCAAAATCAATTGACAGAGATAAAGATGGATCTACAAAGATCTCTTTTGCTGAAAAATCTGCTGAAGATTCGAGGGCGAATCTTTCTTGGCCGGCGGGAGCTGATGCAGCGCAGATACAAGATTCGAGGACGAATCTTTTCTTGGCCGGCGAGACCTGATGCAGCGAGATATTCCAAATATCTCTTATTATTATCTCTTAATTTATCTATTATAATTATTATAGAATATTCTTAGTTTTAGGGTTTTATGCTTTATTATAAATAGGCTTCTTAAGCCTCCTATTGTATTCAGTTATTTTGATATATTGATTAATCGAAAGATTTAAAGAGGTTATTATAACCACTGTGAAGAGTATTCACAAATTCATGAACTTTTGCGAAAGCCCTGAGAGGAGGACTGTCAAACCCTAGATTTCCGGATATTCTGAGAATCAACGGATCTCTACTCCTATCCCTAGAAGCTTCCGCTCCACCACAATGGTGGACTTCTCTTTTCCCTTTATTGTTTTGCTTTATGGAAAAGAAAAAAAAAAAATCAATAAATAAAAGCCAAGGAATGATTATTATGAACATAAAAATATATTTTGTGAGTGAGTGAAACTCTCGAGTAAAGCTGTAGTGCGCCTGACTGACTCTTATTATATCCCTTCAAATGTATGTTTGCACTTTGCAGAATCATATTTTATTACTTCTCTTTTGCATCATGCATAAGCAGATTCAAATCGGATGTCAAATAAAAGGGCATAGCAAACGGAAAAATGTTAACACAAAGGGATTAAGGGTTCCTTTGTTGACCAACACTCCTTTTAGAGCTACGGATGTTTTATCTTTTGAATCGACTTTATACATAAAACCTTCAACCATTGTGATTGCTATGAAACCCGAGTGTAACTGGTGAACTCACAAGAAATACCATTTTATAAAAAAAAAGACAGAAAGCTATATATATATTTTATGCTAATATGAAAATTGAACAAGGAATGAAGGAATACAAGGATAGATTGATTCATTTGCAGTTGATGAATCACTCTAAGTCATGAGAGGGACTCTGTATCAGCTCTAATATCTTCACCACTTCTTCCATGTCCGGCCTATTCGACGGCACTTGAGAGCCACATACCAAACCTAGTTTAATCACCGGTATTGCCTCCTCCGCTGGAAAATTCCCTCTCAACCGTGGGTCAACGCACTCTTCCACCCTCCCTTCTTCTAATCTTTCTCTCACCGTCTCACACAGCACCACCACGTCGTCTTCTGCGTACTCCACCGGCCTCTTCCCCGTCACCACCTCCAGCACCAGAATCCCAAACCCATAAACATCGCATTTGTCGGTTATCTTCACTGTTCGGCATGCAAACTCCGGGGCAGTATACCCCAATGCGCTCTGTACCTTGCCGCTCAAGACGCACCTATCCAGTGCCGAAGCCAAAAGCCTGGCCAGCCCAAAGTCAGAGACTTTAGCCTCTCCTGTGGCGTCTACAAGCACATTCGTTGCTTTCAGATTGTAGTGAGTGATGTTACTGCCATGCAGATAGGCTAGACCTCTCGCTATCCCTAGAATGATGCTGAAGCGTTGACGCCAATTTAGGCAAACACTCTCGTCTCCGTGGAGATGTCTGTACAAGCTTCCACCTGAAACAAACTCGTGGATCAGGAGCTGCAGCGATTGCGTCCAGTAGTACCCTTTAATCTCCACCACATTATCGTGCCTCAGCTTCCCGAGTTTTCTCATCTCTCTCTCGAATTCCTCCTGCGACTTTATTAGACCCGACACTGTAAGTTTCTTGACTGCCACAGGACGCCCATCGTGGAGATTTGTCTTGTAGACCACTCCGAATCCACCACGACCCAGCTCACAGTCCTTGTTAAGCAACGCATCAGCGCCTGTGGTGTCAAACACGTCGGCTTCGCCTGAGAACATCACCAGCTTTCCAAATTCTTGATCTTTGCTAGGCGAACAGCTGAACGTTTCTCCAACCGAAAGAGCGAGAGCAGTTGCTGCATTGTGACGGGAAACACTAGATCGGGCGTGCACGTTGAGGAGAGTGACAGCCACCACCCCGATGGCAATGAAAGCGGCTGCACCAATCGCGATGAGGGCAGATATGCTCAGAACGCTCTTCCTGATCTGCCCAGTGAGAGCTGGACCATTGGTTGGATTGGAGGAGTTGGGGTTGAGGACGATAGGTTTGGGGTGGACAGAGAGACATGAGCGATTCACCACGGAACCACAGAGGGATGGATTTCCCGTGACAGCAGAGAGGGGGATGGTGTTGAAGAAACTTCCAGCTGGCAGCTCCCCTGTGATGTTGTTGTGGGAGATGTTGAAGGTCAGGAGATGCAAAAGTTTCTCTATTTCTTTGGGTAAGCTTCCCGAGAGATTGTTTCTCGACAGGTCAACGTACTTGAGGTTGCTCAAACTGCCAATGCTCGCCGGAACTTCACCGGATAATTCATTCTCTGACAGATCTCTGCACAGCCACACATTGTTACATTATTCGAGCTATCAGATATGAGATAATACACGAAAGATTACAACATGAGAAAAGTGACTTCTTGAGCACTACTTACATTGCGTTTAAAGCGGAACAGTTAGAGATCTGTACTGGAATCTGGCCAGAGAGGCGATTTCTCTGCAAATTAAGTTCTTTCAAGGAGATGGCTCCTCCGATCGCAGAAGGAACGGTTCCATTGAAAAGATTACTACTCAGATCAATAATCTCAGCGACTTTTAACCCTCCAATGCCGGTCGGTATGGAACCGAACAGAGAGTTGGTGGACATGTTAAGCTGCACCAAACTTGTGAGGACCCAAATGTTAGACGGTAACTCACCGGAAAACCTGTTTGACGACAGATCGAGGACCCGAAGATCTTGAAGGAAGCCAACGATGGGAAGAATGGTGTCGTTCCCTGATCTTTTGTGGAGACTAAACCTGGAAAGGGAGGAACTTTCAGAGTTCCCGGTGAACATCCACTTAAGCACATCTCCTGTGAATGAGTTCTTGCTGATGTCAATGGAGATCAAGCTGGAGCAGTTGGAGATGGTCTGTGGGAGCTCCCCAGTGAGCATGTTAGTGGATAGGTTGAGTTCCTTTAAAAACTCGAGATTACCGAGGGAGAAGGGGACATTGCCTGAGAAGTTGTTTGCAGAGAGATCAAGGGTCTCGAGAGAGGCAATGTCACCGATCCAATTAGGGATTTCTCCGGCCAGAGAGTTTCCTCGGAGACGGACAGAGGTACAAGAGCTGATCGTTCTCAATGAATCCGGAAGATTCCCAGAGAAGTAGTTGTCACTAAAATCAAGAGATTTAAGGGAAGAGCACCGTCCAATGTCGGAAGGAAGGTGGCCGGAAAACCAGTTTCTAGATAAGTCGATGAGACGGAGATCGTAGAGAGCGGCGAGACCATCAGGGATATCTCCTTGGAGGAAATTGTCAGATAAATCAAGAGACTTTAAGCTCTTGAGGAACCAGATTTCGCGTGCTAGTCTCCCAGAAAGTTGGTTGCTTGAGAGGTTAAGATGGGTGAGAGTAGAACAGTAGCTGAGGGAGACTGGGAGAGGGCCTGTGAGTTTGTTGTTGGCCAAAGAGACTGACCTCAAGGACCCGCATTGCTCGAAGAACCCGTCTGGGATCCGACCCGAGAGATTATTGCCGCTAAAATTGATGACTTGGAGGCTGCCGAGGCGAGGGAACTCGGGGTTAAGGTTTCCAGTCAGGTTGTTGTTGGAGAGGACCAAGGTGTGGAGGAACTGGAGACGGAGGAGGCCACGGCCGATGTGACCGGAGAGAGAGAAAGCGTCAAGTCGGAGCTCCGTGACACGATTGGTGGCAGGGTCACAAATGCAACCGACCCAGTTGCAGGGATCGTAGTCTTCAGAGTTCCAAGAAGCGAGCTTTGAGAGAGGGTCGTCGAGGCCAGCCTTGAAAACGATGAGACCCAAGACGTCGTCGTTGAATGTCGGGTCTGCCGTCGCTGAAACGGCGAGGAAGAGGAAGAAGCTGAGAGAAACGGCGCCGTTCAGCATTTCCTCTGAACAAAACAGTGGCCTTCAAAGATTAAAAGGAGCTGAGAGGGGGAAAAAAAGAAGAAGAAAGGATATGAGACAGAGCTCAAGTAAGGTTGATGCTGGAGAGGGATGACAGCAAGAACCGGCCAAAAAGCTTCCTCTTCTTTTTACTAGAAATTATGGCTGAAAAAACAATCATGAAGAGGAAGACAGAGGAGTTTTAACATGAGAGCGAGCGTAAGGAAGGAACTGTTGGTTCTTTGAGGAAGAGATGGGCGGCGGGCGCAAGAAGAAGGAAGGAAGAGGAGTTTGAAAGGGTTTTGAATAGAGAAAGAGTAAAAGGGAAGGTAGAGAGCATTAATGGTGGATTTTTTTTTTTCTTCTTTCGTTAATGCACTACACTCCTCCACTAGATTAGAATGAGTGCAGCAAATAGAGAGCGAGAGAGAGACTTGGCCAAAGAATAAAAAGAGAAAAGGAGAAGTACGCATAAAAAGAGAGACTCTTCTGTAGTAATCTCCGGAGGGTTCAAGTCTGGAAAGACACAGTCCTCTCTCTCTCTCTCTCTCTGATCCCTTCTTTTTATTTCTTTAATTTTGGTACCCTCCTCCTTTCTTTCTTTCTTTATAAGAAAAGTAAAAATAAATAAACAAAAATCTTTCACGCTCATATGATCATTAATAATAGAAGAAGAGAAGAAGAAGAAGAAGAATCAGATTTGAAAAATATAAAGCAATCAATGGAAGCAGCAAACAGAGAGGATGGAGTAGAAGACAAGTGATCTCTTTCTCCCACAAAGCCTTTCTTTCTTGTCCCTGAGCATGCTATTCTACGCCATCATTTCCTTTCTTTTTTATTCGATAATTAGTATCATTTTTTAATCACAAAGTTAAGTGAAAGGAATGATTTTATTTGTAGACAATCTAAAATCTATGAAGAAGAGAGATGGTGTTCGACCTTATTTATCTATAAAATTCCTGTTGACAAAAAAAGAAAGAGAGATGGTGTACGTAGAGCTTCCACACCTCAAGCACTACTACTACTACTACTAGTCTAGCTAGTCGTACCACTCACGCATGTGTTTGTTTTATCAATCTTTTGATTATGCCAACACTGACTTTACTTTAAATAAGCTACTGACTGACGGAGTTGTTTATTTTATTACATTTAGATTAAAACCACTTCAATGAATGCACACAGTGGAGAGAAGTGGCGTAAACGGTGCTCACTCCATCTCACTAATCTTCCCGTTGACTTGTATGATTCATTGACGCTCTTCTCTTCTTCTTTTTTATCCTTCTTTTCTTTTTCTTTTTTTTTTTTTTTTTTTTTGTCATCTAAAGAACTAAATTACAAGCTTCTCGGGAATAAACTCTCCTCTACGAAGAGCCACGAAGGTGCCGATGTGCTTGTGTAGGAGAAATGAACTCCACGGCATCTTGCTTTCTTTGCAAGGTAGTCTGAGCGCCCGTTTTCCTTTCTCGGGATACGGCCGATATTGAAGTCCAAGAAAGAATTCTCCAGATCACGAAAGGAAGCATATTCAGCTGCAAACGTGGGCCAATCCGATGGCGCCTCCAAAACAGCAAGGATATCCGAACAATCCGTGGCAAAGCTAGCGTTGAAATGACTAAGCGCTAGCATACTCTCCATGGCCCAAAGAAGGGAATCCCATTCAGCATGAAGGGGTGAGAGGGACCTTCTAACACTCTTGAGTCCAAACCAAGAGTGGCCTTGCGAGAAATTTCCTCTATCATCCAGTAGGATCCACCCAAGACCACTAAAAGGATCGGAATCCAGCCAGGAGGCATCACATTGGCATTCTAGAATTGGGGAGGATAGGGGCCTATGGACTACCAAAGGAGGTGGCGGAGGATCTGGCGAAGCATCTGCTTCCATAGCCCGCCGCCACACTTCTGCTTCATGAGTAGCAAGCAGAAGGGTCTCCTCAGGTGACACCCTTATATTCTCAAATAAAAACCTATTACGGGCTTTCCAAATAAACCACAAAATCCAAGGGAAGTTGTGGATATTGGATACGTCTATCTCCAATTCTTGACCTCTCCAAAAGAGAAAATCAAAATTGTAGAATAGAGATTGGCGAGGGAACACCGTCCCTGAAGAGGGTATTGGGGATAAAGCCCAGACCTGCCTAGCCGGAGGGCATTCGAAGAGGTGATGGTTAATTGATTCCTCTTCATGACCACAACGGAGGCAGTCTTTCTCCCTACCAATGTGTCGAGAGAAAAGTCTTTGGCAGGTTGCAACGCAACCCGAGAGACATTGCCACATGAAATGCTTTAGCTTTCTTGTGGTTTTAGTTTTCCACACTTGTGCCTGGAGTGCCGAAACATCCGGTCCCTGAAAAGGGAGGTCACAAGAAGGGCGGGAAAGATTTCTCGCGGCCCAATATCCTGACTTAACAGTATAATTCCCTGATTTTGTGTGAACCCAGCTATATCCGTCACTCAGGTAAGTCCGACTAGGGCGAATGCCCAGAATCAGAGGGATATCCGATGGGTCCACAATAGCATTCAGAAGTTCAAGCTTCCATTCCTGAGTATCCCTATTCAGTAGATCATTGACATACAAATGCGGATCCTGAAAAGCTAGAACACTTTTAGCAGGTCGAGGTGGGATTGTGGGAAGCCACAGGTCAGTCCATACCCGAGTTAACATTCCGGAGCCAACAGTTCTGCGCAGTCCTGAAACAATCAGAGGCTTGGCAGAAAAGATACTCCTCCATCCATAGGAGGGACGATTGGCCTTTACTATCTGAAGGGGGTCGCTAAATCTATAGTATCTACCTCTCAAAACTCTACTCAACAGAGAATTTGGGAAGCGAAGGAGTCTCCAAAATTGCTTGGCAAGGAGTGCCTGGTTAAATTCACCCAAAGTACGAAACCCAAGTCCTCCTTCCGAGTGTTGGGTACATAATTTGTCCCAGGCTATCCAATGGATACCGTTACTCTCCGATCTGGTTTTCCACCAGAAGTTAGCTATGGCGCTACTTAACTTCGAAAGGATAGCTTTGGGAAGTAGAAAGCACGACATAACATATGTCGGAAGAGCTTGGGCTACCGCCTTGATAAGTACCTCTTTCCCCCCTTTGGAGAGGAATTTGACAGACCAAGTACTAATTCGCCTTTGAAGTCTATCACGGACAAAGGAAAAAACTTGGGTTTTGGATCCATAAATTTTTTCGGGTAATCCTAGATAAGTACCCATACCACCTTCGGTCTGAATGCTTAAGATATTCTTAATGTTGGTACGGGTTACTGGAGACACCTCGTGCCCAAACATCACAGAAGACTTTCCTTCGTTAAGGAGTTGGCCTGAGGCCTCACCGTACCGGCGTATAACATTTAGAACTTCAGTCCCTTGATCAGGAGTCGCTCTACAAAAAAAGAGACTATCGTCCGCAAAGAGAAGATGGGATGTCGAGGGACTAGCCCGAGCAATTTGAAGGCCTTGAATTTTGCCTTGCCATTCTGCTTCATTCAGCTGAGCCACAAGGGCTTCAGTGCAGAGTATAAAAATAAAGGGGGAAATTGGGTCCCCTTGCCTGATTCCCCGTGAGGGTTTTATATGTCCCTTCGGGGTTCCATTTATGATAACTTGGTACGACACCGAAGAGATACAAAACATTATCATATCAACCCATTTCTGAGCGAAACCCATTTTCAGCATCAGAGCGTTAAGAAAGGGCCATTCCACTCGATCAAAAGCTTTACTCATATATGTTTTAATAGCCATGAAATTCTTCCTACAATTCGAATTCGTACGGAGGGCATGGAAATTCTCTTGAGCAATCAAGATATTATCCGTAATAAGGCGGCCGGACACAAAAGCCGACTGAGTCTCAGATATTAGGTCGGGAAGAAATTTCTTCAGTCGAAGACTAAGAATCTTCGAGAGGACCTTATAACATACATTACATAAACTTATTGGCCTGAATTCCTTCATCGATCGAGGACGATCAGTTTTTGGAATAAGGCATATGTTTGTCGCATTCAGAGATTCATCAAAAGAACCGGTCGAATGGAAATCTTGGGCTAGTTTGACAAGGTCGTCTCCAACTATATCCCAGAACCGCTGGTAAAATAGGGCCGTCAGACCATCAGGGCCTGGAGTCTTCTCGGGGTTGAGGGAAAAGAGGGCCCGTTTAACCTCATCACGAGAGAAATCTCTTGTGAGAGATAGGTTAATTTCCTCAGTTATGGACACGGGAACAGCCCGGAGAACAGAGTCCACATCCCTGGGGTTGGAGGTCGTAAATAAATCTCTGAAGTATGAGACTGCAAGCTCCTCAATCCCATCTTCATTATCTACCCATCTGTTGTCCTGATCAAGGAGGCCAGTAATCCTATTCCTAGCCCGCCGTTGTTTGGTAGTAGCATGGAAGAATTTGGTATTCTTATCACCATGTTTTAACCACGTCTCACGACTTTTTGTCTGCCAGTACAACTCCTCCTCTCTATAAGCATCACACAGTTTCCATTTTAACTCTAAAAGAGCTTCAGAGGTGATCTCTGGATTTTCTTGAGCTGCGTCAATTTGAGATTGAAGGCTCAGAATAAGTTTTTCAGAATTGGTCACTAAAGTCTTTTTCCAATTCGAAATAGACACCCGACATGTTTTAATCTTTCGGGGAAGAAAGCTGCCTCGACCATGTCTGGAGAATCTCCAACCCGCCTTAACAGCTTCTTTTAGGCCAGGTTTTCCAATCCATCTCTTATCAAACATAAACCTTTTAAAAACTTTAAGGGGTCTATTTTGAACTGAGGCTAACATGGGTCTGTGGTCGGATCCCCACATTTTAAGATACTCCACATTTGTGTGGGAAAAGATATGGTGCCATTCTTCATTTCCCAGAGCCCGGTCAAGGCGGGAGCGGATTAAACCGCATTGTCGACGACCTGCCCAGGAAAGGAAGTTCCCTGTAAAAGGAAATTCAAGCATACCACAATTTTCAATCATAGTCCGGAAAGGGAGAAAGGAGGATTCAGATCTCCGTTTCCCCCCTTTCTTCTCATGGTTTCCGGTAATCTCATTGAAATCTCCAATCATGAACCAAGGTTCAGAGCGATTAATCCCTATCCGGGTAAGACGTTCCCAAACTTTTTCTCGGTTTTGAACAACCGGATCGCCATAAACAAAGGTAATATAGACACGATTTCCATCAATAATAGTTTCAATATCCATTAATCGATCACTAAGATACAAGAAATGAACCGGGTAATCCCGAGAATACATAAGAGCAAGACCCCCACTCGTACCCATCGGTTCAATTGTTTGAAGACAATCAAACCGTAGCGTAGTTTGGAGTTCTTGAAGATACAAAAGATCATTTTTAGTTTCTGAAAGAAAAAGAAAACCTGGAGAATACATACGGCACATCTCCTCCAGTCGGCGTTTGGTAAGTTTAGCACCCGCCCCTTGACAATTCCACGCTAGGATTTTCATGGTTCGGGTCCGGAAGGGTTAGAAGGCCCTACCGGAATGGTACCATGACTTGAACTCTGACGTTGAGACACCATAACCACCCTATTACGGGTAACAGAGTTAGCTTTCTTCGGATTGGTCTTGGAGGAGCCCAGTTTGCTCGAGTGACGGAGGAGGGGAGAACCACCTCTCGCAATTTGAATCTTTCGAGAGACAGAACTGATTTGGAGAGATGGGCTTTTGCGGCCCCTTCTGGAAAAACCTTCAGCTTTGTCTTTTCTTTTGGGCCTTTTCTTGCTTCCCTGGCCCAAAAGGGGAAAATCACCTTCCAACGAAACATGCTCGATGGAAGCGAAAGACGAGCTACGCCCCACCGACTTCGGCGAGACCACGGCAGAGGCGGGGGAGGTCGGCTTAATCACGGTCAAAGCTTCTTGGTTTTGTAATTCCGCATGGAGATCATCGCCAAGGAGGTCGTCGTTTTCCATCATCCTCCTGTCCATGAGATTCAACTCCAACTCCTCATCAGAAGGCGACAGCTCCAATCCAACTTCCTTGTCCGGTTCTGGGCCTTCCGCTTGAGCACGATCATCATCCTCTTCCAGCGTCATCTCATACCAGCTTTTCCGGCGAGAGGATTTTGCCGATTTGTCAGCCAGGGAAAGCTTCTCAAAAGAGAGATGAGTAAGAGGCTCAACTTGAGGGGTCTCCTGGGTTGTAAACCGCAGGGATTTCTTCACTGAACTACCCGTGTCAGGAGTAAGCTCAGGAGGGGGTGAGTTCCGATTCTTGGCACCAAGAGAGGAAGACCCATCCGGAATCGATTTCTTCTGAAGATTCAAACGGAAAGGCCTCTCACGAGCAAAGGCAGGAGACAAGTACCCTTGCTTCTCTTTGGCTCGGGGGAGGTATGACTCCGAAATTGTTGCTTGGGAGTCTGAAGCAGCAATTTGCGAAGGCTCTGAAGCAACCAGAAGCGAATTGTGGCAGAGAGCGGGTTCACGAGCATGAGACGGCTCACCTTTGTCCAAGCCAGGCCCAAGAGGGTCCCTCACAATCAGAGAGTGAGACTCCAATCTCCTTTTCTTCCCCTCTTCCACCTCCTTCCCTTTACCAGAGTATGGAAGAGAAGTACCATCGGGATAAGGATGACTCGATCTCGGAGAGCTCTGGCGCCGGTTAGGAGAGTCCCAACGAGATTTCTCCTTTCTTGATTCCTTGACCGGAGATAAGGAAGACCGAGAATGAGAGCCAGAGCTTCCATCCCGGAGATGACGCTCACGACCTCGTCGAGAGCCTGAGACCCTTTGCGGTGGAAGAACCGCACGAGAGTAGGGGTTTCCTTCACGAGCCGGAGCACGAAAAGCTTTCTCCGTCTCGTATTGCCGCTGGTACAAGATACGCTGCTCCTTGTTTAGGTGGGGACAAAACCCAGCTTCATGACAGATCCGGCGACAGAAGTTACACCAGCGAATGAGTTTCTCGTCAAAGAGGGCTACAGAGACGACCTCCCCAGAAGGGATTTGGGTCTTCTTACGGAACTTCAGAGGAGCATCAGCCTTAACAGAGACTTGAATACGGCCGTTAATGGTATCTGTTTCAAGGACCGTACCAAGAGAGGTTCCAAAGTTGGTGAGAGTTTCGACTGTCCAATACTCGGAGGGGATGCCATCAAAGCGGATCCAGAACGTCATAGAGTCGGGGAAGGTAGACCCAACATGGGGTTCCCATCTTTCCAGAGCAAAAGACCACCTATTAAAGTGGCAGGGGCGTTTACTGTGGACTTTTTGAAGATCAGCTTCAGATTCAAAGTAGAACTGGAAACGTGAATCACCAAGAGGTACTCCACGAACTCGACCTTCCACATTCCAAATAAAGTCTTTGGGGAGAGTAGTGATGAGAGCCTCAAGGCTTCTACCTCCTTTGTGAAAAATTCTTCCAACAAGACTGAGGTTGAGTCTTGCAAGGACAGCTTCATTATCAACCTGAGGGAGCACCACTACCTCATCATCGTCATCCTCCATCTCGGGAAGAGGGGTTTGGTGCTTGGGGGGAGATTCTCTATACCAACTTGGTCTGGGGCGTCTCGACATGATGAGAGAAAAAAGGAAAAGAGGGTGAAAGGCCTTCGCAGCTGAATATTATTGCCTCTAGCTTATTTTTATCCTTCTTTTCTTATATATGTATATTGTATAGATAGATTGGGTTCTTCTGTGTCGATCATACTCGTTTAATGGAAATTAACTAGTCCTATATTATTAATACCACTAACTAAAACAGGGAGTAATTTTATTTATTCATGGAGAAACAAAGAAAGAAACAGGGCTAATGAGTGTTATGATGACGATAAAAAAAAAAAAAACATGCCTACCAAACGATCTCAAAACCCTTCCTTTGTTTCATTCCCAAGCAACAATTCCACACTTTACATTATTATCATAACATGTCTATCCTAGAGTAAATAATATTTATTTTCGTATTTTTTTATGTTTTTAGTTACTTCTATTTTTAATTTTATTTCTGTTTAGTTTTGTTTGGTTCAATTCACATCTATACTATATAAAAAGATAACTATATAAATCTTCAACTTTATTTTCAAGTTGGATTAGTGTTTTGTTTATTCATTGTTAGGTATACAATTTTCCTTTTTTTCCTATCAAAAGATTACCAATTTGAGTGTGTGTGTGTGTGTGTCATGAATGTACAATGTACATGATGTATTGATGTTTACTACTGTAATAAGATATGAATATTTGACATCCAAAATAAATAACAAATATGTATGGTTGGGCCCAATAACAAAAAGAAAACTGTTAAAGGCCCAACCATAAAATAAAAGAGTTAATAACTGTCAAACAGGGAGCCAATATACATATCGTCGGTTCGCTCTCTATTGATTCGGTAAAATAAGATTATATTATGATTTGGGCATGAATCACCTAGTTAATGGGCTATTTTATTCTGAATATCAGGCCCATTTATAAATCCTCGAGAGCTGTCCGCAAGCCCCTTTCAATGTATTTTATAATTATTGTACGCCTCTTATTAATCCGGTAAAATCACTGATTGTAATTTAATATCAGTCTAAAGCTATTCCAAGATATAAAACAATACTATCAATTTAATTGATCTCGGTTCTATTTAAATATGTGCAGCAAAAAATAGATATACACGTCAGACATCTTTATGACTTATGAGCACCGCCCGGTCTTTTAACCTAGCTAGACCATTTATTTGGTCAATCCAATATATTACTATACGCTGACCGAAGAGATACGGAAAAATAAGTGGAGACGAGTTTGACCAGAAAACTAAGAAAAGAAAAGATAAGGGAGAGAGCAAAGTGTGAATATCGCAGTGTGTTTATACTTAACCAACCCATCAATTCAAATCAAATTGAACGAGACTTTTATTTTTCCACACGGACGTTGCTTTCACTCTTAGCTCTTGTTTAACCTAAGCTTTTGGAGTCATCTTATCTTATACCCTCTAAATTAAAAATATGCATATGTTATTATACTTATCGGTACTTTACAGATAAGTACCAATATGGAAGTATAGAAAAATGCATTTCACGTTTATAACGAATCTAACAAGACACTTCAGCCTAGATTCTCTGTAGCAGCAGCACAGCTAAAATGAGTTTGATATTTGCTCAAGGTCTCTCATTTAATATATTATAGCTAGGAGCATCTGTCCTATCTAATACGTCTATATATATATGATACCATTGACAGACATATGCTTACATAATACATACACATCCTCACATCGATCGCATACCCAACGCCTTGAAAAATAATCCTTGTTGCATACTTTAACAAGAGATATATTCGTGTCCGTTTGCCTGATTAGTCTCTCCTACCTAAACTAATTCGAAAATCCATGACGAGTTATGTATATATATAATATATATGTATGCATACTTTTTAATTACTTGTGCCATGAATCATGCATACATCTTTGAATGATTAAGGTACCAAACAGTATTCGTCATCCTAATTTTGTTTTTTTCTAGAATTCTTAAACAGTATCTACCTATGGGTTGGGTACTTGATTAGGATAATCTTAATTATCCGGTTTTATATTGCACCATATGCGGTAAGCTCACAATTAACACCAAGAGGGGGACCATGACATGTTAAATGTTAAAGATATTAAAATAAAACAAATGAGTTATATGCATTATTATTATTTTCTTTTCTTTTGAGAACATACACATTGAATTGGAAAACTATACGATCTTGGCTCATTTAAATGAGTGGCTCTAAGAAGCTTTATAATTAGTCAATAGAAAGGCCCTTTAACTCGAAAGGAGATATTTAATTTATAGTTTGTTTTGTTTTTATCTGACTATGAATGAATAATATTAATAAGTTAGTTAGTGGGTACTTAGGGCAGAAGGGTCAAGAAGGTCTCCTCTTTATCTTTCCGAGCTGCTTCAATGGCAAGTTCAATGACCTGACCAACAATTTATTGTGTCTCTACTTTTTGACCCTCGTGTTAGAATTTTGTACGATTATTAATCGATTTGCATGAGCTAGTCTGGTCTTACAAAAACTTTTATCTATGACCATCTTTCAAATTTGTTTTAATAACAGCAATTAATTAGTGTATACCATGATAGAATGAGAAAGATCAAACGAAGAAGACGATGTAAATGATTCTGTTATTTCTCATTAAGTGTTTGTTACAAACTCAGCATGCTTTATATAACAGCTTTTATGGTTTATTCTAATTCGTCCGGTTACAAACCGGTTAATCAAAACCATAGTCTAATAGAGGGGATAACGGTATCTATAGTGTGTCAAAACTACTCCGGCCGGCGAATAGAAACACTAGTCCGACGAGTGAAAACCCTAGCTCGAACAAATGTCTTTCTCTTTTGTCAGTGTGGTATGAGCGCTCGTTCCCTCGGGCTCGCAGACACCAGCATGGTCCCATGGTTAAATGAATACTCACGGCCACGAGCCATACTTGCAAACAATTTTATTGTAGATAACATTTTTTGTTTTTGATTGTTTCTCTGGATTCCAACATTGGGTACTACTAACTTCAATGTAGAATAAATAAACCAAGTCTAGATCTGCGTCAGCGTTCCCTCTTTTCTTATCTTCTTATAATAGAGTTGTATATACATATATTAGTTATTCATCATAATTGTCCGTTGATGGTTGAAGGGTATTAAAAACCTAATTACTCAAAGGTTTGTTCATAAAAGAATCCCATTAGTATATATGTACAAAACAAGAAGAAGAAAAGAGCTGGCAAGTGGCAACAATACAACCATCATGTATTATTATTAATATTAACTAAAAAAAAAAGCTCTAAAAGTAGAGATCGATTGAAATATATAAGGGTTACGCAAGTACATATATTTATATATAGAGATGTATATATGACCCAAAAAAGAAGTAAGACAAGGATTAAGGATTAAAGGACGCTATGTATGATGATAGAGGGGATCGATATAGGGTCATGATGACAAGTCATGAGATGTCCAGAAAGGGTTAAACTCGAAAGCCTCCACGGCGTGGGCAACCTCGGACGACATCCACTGGGATGAAGACCACTCTTCTGCTTTCTCTGGTTTCATGTATTCATCTTCCATGTGATTCTGATTCTGATTCTGATGTTGACGGAGGCTATTGGCGGAGGGGGAGAAGCTGGTGTTGGGCTGACCAAATCGGATCATGTGGGATCCCTCGTGGTCTTCGGGGTCAGAGGTCTCAATGGGGAAAGTGGCATAAGCTTGATGAAGCTGGCAGGTGTGTTGGCCGAAGTAAGTGGTTGAGTACAATGGAGGACTGTGCTGGATCTTTTGGACCTGCTTCTTTGCTTCACAGTTCTGGTCCTTTGTGTATGCACACTTGTAGTAACTCCTTTGGTGATCAGATTCTTTGATCTGCTTTTGCCCGTATTTCCTCCAGAGGAAACCGTCGTGGTAGATCGGGGTCGGGGATTCATGTCTATGGTAGTCTGAGCTCTCTGCCATTGATGTCTTTCTGCAACCACCAGACTCATGATGATGAGCATAGCATCATTCAATATTTACTGATCATTCTTGAAATTTTTTCAATTTTTATTTATATATTCGTACCTTCCCCTCTTGTGAGGTGGTTTCCTGCCGCTCTCAAGAACAGGAGAAGATTCCTGAGGAGATGAGTTATTGGAATGATCGTCTTGGTGCTCATTAGTATCGATCAAGATGGAGAGAGCATCTGAGAAACAATGGAGGACTGACTTGGCCAAGTCCTCCCTTTCCATGGACGAATCTGACTCGGTGTGGTCCATGACGAGCAGCTGGTTGGCGCAGCCACGGCCTTGAAGCAGCTTCTCCATAGCCTTTTGTTGGTAAGAGTTCATCTTTTTTATTTATATTGAGTAATTATATCGATGTCGTCATCTGTGAGTTTATTAAGTTAGAGATCATGTGGTCGATGTCTCTATATATATATAAGGTATCAGGGTGTTGTAGGTTAGGAAGTTTCGTATGTGAGTTTATTACTATACACTCCTTCGTTATCTTCTCCCATCGGATAATACTACTATTATGTAATTCGTATTTTAGGAATGTGCGGATTAACGAGTGACTCCTCGAGATAGAAAAAGACAAAACAAACCCAACAAGTGTTACTAGTTGACTTACCCCACATCTCTATAAATTAATTAGTTGATGAATTAATGATCGATCATGTGTAAACTCATAATCGAAGAAGCATGACTTTTATTTGAATCCCCTCTACAACTTTTTTCATCTCATCTGTCTCTTTTATTTTCAGTCAAAAGAGGTTTCCATCTCCTAATAAAACCAGTATAGCTAGCTAGGCATAAAAAAAAGGACCGGAGGAGAACGCCATAAGTGGTCATGTGTGGCACGGTACATGTATGATATACCTGAGAAGTTGGCACGCAGAACAAACGGAGGAGCCACTTTGAACGGCGTAAAGAGAGTTCCCTCAAATTTAAAGTGACGTCAGGCTCGTGACCTCATCCTAGGCTGACGACGTGACGTCATGGGTGGTTGAATTATGGATTACAGATCATCATATAATACACTAATCCAATCTAATCTCATCTATCCAACGATGGAGATCCATTGCTGCCAAAAGGTTTTCTGGTTTTTCTAATATAATAAGCTTAATCCCCATGTGCCTTATTTTTTTAAAATTTTTTTCTTCTACTACTCACTCATGTTTCTTTCTTATACTAGATGTCTAGATCTACGTACGTAACAGTTTCAATTTTTATTTATTTATTTCTCTCTTTCCCTTTTCTTGCTTTATAAATAACTATTAAATAAGCTGCACTAATCATAATTAAAATAGCCTTTGCTTCTGTTTCAATATCGGCGGCTGAGTTGCTTTCATTCACTAATCGTAAAATATGATGTAATAATTAAACAAATTATCTCGATGACATTTATTTTTTGTTTTTCTACATTGAATAGTAGGGAGTAGTATAAGTTAACGATTGACATTAATTAAACCATACATCACTTAAAAGATAATTTGATTAGATTTAAAGTTTAAATTAGCATGCATCAACCAACTAATTAATCAACAAGCTGATGAGTACTTAAATGTATATATTTGTATTAAGAGGGGTAAAATATGCATGCACACTGACACTGTAGTATTGTCCCGTCTCATCCACTAGTTTTTCAACATTAAGATGCATGTGCAGTATTAAACGGTGTCTGTCTCCGGCGGTCTTACCATATATGACGTGCCCTATCGTCACTGCAGGTGCAAATTAAATCACTCTCACGTTATACTGTATATTGCTTAATTAATGAAATCCTAAATTGGATCCAATCTTCTCAGTTCTCACCAAATTCATCCGCTAAAGGGAACGCTATAAATTAAACATTTTTATATCTTTTAATTAAAAATTGATGAAATCTATATACAGTAGATAGAATAATATATATATATATATATACAGCTAACATTTTTCTTCTGTTGTCAACGTACAATAGTATATCTTAACATGTAATTACCAGGAGGAAAAAAGAAAAAAACATGCAATGGTACTATGTACGTAGATGATGATGAAGTGGTACCAACGTTTACAAGTTTAACACAATATATACCTTTATAATTCGGCAAGGTTTACAAGTCAAACAGTCGACGGTCTCTAAACTTTCCAAGGCCACAATCTAGTGGTCGACCCAATAAAAATGTAGATATACGGAAACAAATAATGTTGTTTATAAAATTATTGAGCACGAAAAAATTGGCTGTAGGTGTTTTTGCAAATATGGCAACGATAGACGGAACCTCGTTGAAATGAAATCAACGAGAGAGTAAATTAAACGACCAGACTTCCAACGTATGCTAGTTTTTTGTCTTGTACAACATGACTCAGTTTAGTATCTCATATATAGCCATATATTTTTAATTTTTAATTCTTCTCTTGATATATATATATATATATATATATATATATATAAGGTCTTATCAGCTGCTCTGCTGCTGGTTAAAAACATCACGTAATAGCAACACGACTATGGTATTCCATTAGTGTAGGGTTAGCCGGTTAGGGTTATATATAACAAAACGATTTTTCGATAAAAAATGTGAAGGACAATAGCTATTATTATCTAGACATGGATAAATATATTCGAAGAAAATAAATAATCATCGGGTAGAATGGGGAGTACGTTGTAACTTATACGTAGAGACAATTTGGAATTAATCACGTTCTTGTTGTATTGGACTGATTAATTGATTCTAATAAATATGAGGTGTACATCATGTTTTTAATTGTTAATTTCTTTCTTGTATTCAACTTGTGGGTTGGATCTTTTTAGTTGACAAAAATATCGATTTTTGTGTAATATTGTTTCTTTAACAAATGGGATAATCAATCTCAGGCACCTAACTTATATAACTAATAGAGGCGATGGTGCGCGTTACTAGCTAGTTGTTGACTCATTGTTTTTGATGTTATAACTTATATATATATATATATAAGTTGCGTTTGAGTTCGATACAATTCATATCCCTTAATATGTTTTTTTTCTTTGTCTTTTTCGTTTAATATACAAAATTTGCAGATATGTAGGATCGATAATCAAAACATTTAAGTATGCACTAGTAGAGTTGTAAAAGAAGGTTTATCAATTTGGTCTTAAACATGCGATTAAATTTTAAAAGAATACCTTGTTGGATTAATCAAATACATTAGTTGCCGACAAAAAAAAGAAAAGAAAGGGAATAATAAATTAGTGAAAATGGTTTCTCAAATAACGAAGGATTATCTTAATAAAAAGAGAGTAATGATGGAGGATTGGATTGATAAAAAGGAAAAAAGATGGGCCTGTGGACAAAGAGAAAAGCCCAATAGTAACGAGACATTACAATCTTGGAAGGATCAAAGTGTGGCGGCGTCGGTAGTTGCGTTCATCATCTCTTGGGCTTCCTCATTTGCGATCTCGAGATTCTTATTCACGGGGCTTTCTTCTTCTGCCACTGGTTCTGGTTCCTGAAATCCACATCAGTTCGAAATAAGTTAATGAATGAGAGACTGAGATTGAGATTCGAGAGTGTGCATTAATTACGAAGCTGAAGCGCCTCATCTTCTCATGCTCCTTGTCTCTCAGAGATCGCATCGGGGAAATCTTCTGCTGAGAAAGAAAAGGCTTGGCGATTAGTAAAAAATTAAAAAGAAAGAAATGAAAGAAGAAGAAGAAGAAGAAGAAGAGAGGTATGTTTTTTTTTTTATGCTTACGGAGGAATAGGCGTGGAGCTCCTTCAATCGAAAGAGACGATCGACCTGGATTTCAAGGGTTTTCTGAGTGTCTCCTCTCTGGAGAAGATGGCTCATCTGCACATCTATGAATCCATCCCTCTCATTGAGCAGCTTCTCAGTGCGCTCACGATCCTCTCTCTGCCTCTCAAGTTTCTTCTTGAAGGCTCTCAGCTCCTCCGCTAGAGAAGCATCGATTGTCTCTACACTCTGTTTCAGATTCTCCTTCAGCAGCTCTTCAGCAGCTTTGGGTTTTACTAAAGTATCCTCCTCCTTAATTGTCGTCACGAAGATGTTTCTCGGCTGGAGAGCCTTTCGACCTGATGCTTTCATCTTCTTCTTTTTCTTTTTTTTTTGGGTTGGATGATTGATGAAAGAGAGAAGCTGTCAACTACTTCTTTACCTAATAATCATCCCAATGGGATTTATGGATGCCTTTTCTTTTTCTTTCTTATTTTGAATTTGAATTGGGTTCCGCGCTTAACGGCTACTTTTCCTTTTTTTTTGTCGTATTATTCATCTCTTTCTTTCGGTGTCGTCAAATGCTGTTTCCTTTTCTAATTCTTATTTATCTTTTTTGTTCTCTGCTTCTTCAGCCATTGGCCTAACTAAATTTAATTCATTTCGGTTTGATGGACATAATTGGGCCATTTTGGGCCTTCCAAAACGAAGATGTCACTCATGTCACATGAGTCGATGTGTTGGTTGTGACGTTTGGATACAAATGAGCCAACCAACCAAACCGAAAGAGAAGAGAAGATAAGATGGCCTCTCTTCTCTCTCCCGCCACGTCCACCGCCACCGCCACCACCACGGCCGCCGCATGCTTCTCCGCTCCCACTCCCCCTTCATCGCAAAACAGCCTTTTTCTCCTCAGCCGCCGGAGTTACATGATGAGATGCAGTTTTTCCCCGCAGAACATTCCTCTTGTTGATACTCTTTCTCACCTCCCTGTTTTCCTTGAATTCCAGAATTCCCTCGACACCTTTTCGGATACCCAGAAATGGGGATTCTTTGTGTCCTCTGGCCTTGTCTGGTTTTACCTCACGGCGAGGCCTGGTGTTCTCATCGGCGCCATTGACGCCTACCTTCTCGCTCCCCTCCAGCTTGGCCTCGACACTCTTTTTGGGACTAGGACGTTGAAGAGGTCAAATTTCTTGGTCACTGAGAAACTCGGCGAAGGCTCTTTCGGCGTGGTCTATGCCGGCGTCCTACTCCCCAAGAATTCTAGTGTTGATGATGACGTTAGGGTCAGCAAGGCAAGAGCTAAAGCCATGGACTTTACCGGCGAATTCAAACAGAGAGTCATTCTCAAGAAGGTTGTACACAGCTTTTAACTGAAATAAGCTTTCTTTTCTTGCAACAGCTTCTCAGGACTCATCTTTTGATTTCATCATTGCAGGTGAAGGTAGGAGTACGAGGTGCCGCGGAATTCGGCGACTACGAAGAGTGGTTCAACTACAGACTCTCAAGGGCGGCCCCTGAGACCTGTGCTGAGTTTCTCGGAAGCTTTGTCGCCGACAAGACCAATACTATGTTTACAAAAGGCGGCAAATGGCTTGTCTGGAGGTTCGAGGTGCCTTTCTTACCTTAATATCTCTATCTCTACACATTACACAATGCTGCGATGATGACTGTTGTTTTCTTCAACACAGGGAGACCGTGATCTCGCTGATTACATGAAAGATCGGAGCTTCCCGTCCAATCTGGAGTCCATCATGTTTGGTCGCGTTCTCCAAGGAGTGGAGTCTGTGAAACGTCGTGCTTTGATCATCAAGCAGGTAATGCGCCAGATCATTACATCTCTCAGGAAAATCCATGGTACCGGCATTGTTCACAGGGACGTCAAGCCTGCCAACCTGGTGGTTACAAAGAAGGGCCAGATTAAGCTCATCGACTTTGGTGCTGCTGCTGATCTTCGCATTGGCAAGAATTACATCCCTGAACGCACATTGCTGGATCCCGACTACTGTCCTCCTGAGCTCTATGTCCTCCCTGAGGAAACGCCTACTCCTCCTCCCGAGCCTATAGCCGCTTTGCTTTCCCCGATTCTGTGGCAGGTGGTTTTCGTATTCTTGTATGCCTATATGTTTGCCTTCTTCACTTGAGTCTCTGTTTGATTTTCTAGTGCGCTGATTCTTACAGTTGAATAGTCCCGATCTCTTTGATATGTACTCTGCTGGGATTGTGCTTCTGCAAATGGCGGTTCCCACCTTAAGATCTACTGCGGGTCTGAAGAATTTTAATTTGGAGATCAAGTCAGTTGAATATGATCTTAATAGATGGAGGGACAGGACTCGGACGAGGCCAGACTTGAGCATTCTAGATCTCGACTCCGCCAGAGGGTGGGACCTCGTCACTAAGCTCATATCCGAGAGAGGTTCTCTGAGACGCGGACGCCTTTCAGCTGCTGCTGCTCTCAGACACCCTTATTTTTTGTTGGGTGGTGATCAAGCGGCCGCTGTTCTTTCAAAGCTCAGTTTCAGCAAGTGACATGCTTTTATTCTTATGTTGTAAATGTTCACAATAACACAACTCTGTTCCATAAATACATATTTCTGGTATATTCTCTGCTCCTTTTATTCACAACCAAACAAGTTTTGTTTTGCCTGAGCGGTTTTGCATCAAAATAGCCGTCATCCGGTCTTATTCATAGGCTGCAGAGGTATGTTTGTATTGATATTGGTCTGGAATCTCTCTCCAAGGTAAGTTTAAACACTCATCTTAATATATATGATATTAACACACTTGTATACACTGATCTTTGTATACTTGTGATTCACATAAGGTTGTGATACTTAAAGCTCGTCATGCGAGAGGAGGGCATCTAGAGCAGTGTGATTCTTTTTCTTGCATCCCCACTTGCATTTCCAGCCACACAAGGAGTTGAAGATGGCCAGTCGCTTTGACTGCAGAGATATGATTTTTGAAGCGGTGTGCGCTCTTGTCAGGTAAACTGCGTAGCCGTCATCCATGAACTCTACTCCCTGAGGGAAGACCTGCCACACCAGACTTCCAGCACCTGCCCCTCCTTTCCTTGTTGAGTTGAGGGTCATCTTGTACACCGTATTCAACATCATGTCACGGAAAGATGTGTTGAAACCCGGGTCATGTGCGGACATACCAAACTCTGTGAACAGAACTGGCATTCCCAAGTACATCTCCGCGTCCTCCACATGAGCTTGCATCCAAGAGCTAGTGAATTCCAGGAAAGAGTTTGATACTGCCGGAGATATCCTACAGTTAGCAATTCATTTACTCCATTTTAGCTGTTCTCTGTTTTCAGATTCAGGGCAGTGCCTGTTTCTTGGTATATTGCATCAAAACTTACCAGGAATCTGGATAGACGTGAACCGAGGCAAAATCAATGCCAAGAACCTGATTATTTCTGATGAAGTCAGTTCCGACTTGTGCAGCGTAGGGGTTGGGATTGTATCTGGTTCTCGTAGGGGCAGAGGGACCGTAAAAGCCTTCGAGTCCAATCTCCACCAAATGTTTAGCATCTAAACTTTTCACAAATACCGCCATTTCTTGTATCCAGGACTGGAGTTTGTCACCGGAGGGATCAGAGGGGCAGCGAGGCTCATTCATGAGTTCCCAGGCGAAGATGGTGGGGTCGTTCTTGTAAGTTATGTTTGTGTAGGTGTTCACTCTATTCAGAACCGCCTGCAATGCAGCCACATTTAAGTCACAGTTCTCCCTGATGGGTAGAAAAAGTGCTTTCCGGATAAATAAGCAATAAAATTCGGGGAGATGGATGGAATAATCACCCGGACATGAGACTGGTAGAAGTTTCTGAGGGTGGGGTTTGTGAAGAAGTCGTCATCGGAGGTGAGATTAAGGCCGGAGGCGTTGCCCCATTTAACGTACTGAGCTTTGCCTCCATATGCGTCCCAGTTGTTGACCAATGACAGTATAAGTCTGATCTTGTACTTTCTAGCCTCGCTCACCACGAAGTCCAGGGCCTGTCCAAATGCTCAAACTTGTAAATAGAAAAGAGACTTGAAGGTAGAAGCTTTAAGTGTAGAGACAAACCTTGAAGACCTCTTCATCGTACACAGAGGGAGATTTCTGGAGAGCTCTCCATTGGCCATCATTGAAAGCCCATGTTCTGCCTACCGTCATTCCAACCGCGGAGGCTTGTTGGAACACTTCTGTCACTTTGCCTCTCGTGGAATTGTCAGCTGCAAGAGTCATCATCCAGTATGTGTTGAAGCCATTCACGTAGAATGGTTGTCCATTAAGGGTGAATTGCATCCCTTTCGTCTGTACCATCTCCCATTCTTCTTCTCCTACAGAGTCAGAGTTAACCCTGCAAAAACAGTCTCAATTTGTCATTCTTCCCTAAAAGTAAATAACTCCGAGACCAATTTTTTGAATGATCGTGATTTTAGTACTCATGGGACTTGCTGTCAAAGTCTGCGAGTGCTCTGTTTTGTGTAAGAATTATGAAAACTGCATAAAAGAGCACGATTCTGACTTCTAGTCGGTCCTTCATTTTTGCAGGTATATGGATGAGAACAGATTCTTCTTCATTTGGTTGCATGTTTAAGTAATATGTTCATCATACCAGCAAAGCCAATAAAACATGGATTCAATTTTAAAAACCCAAAACCTTAACTTACAAGGCAAGAGATTGGGTCCTAGGTTTCACATGTTGGAGAGATATCAATCAGCGGACTGATATGTGAGACAGTTCCAAAGTAACGTGTCACTGCCAAGCTAAGATTCGAAGCTCACCCACTAGAGTTAGCTGACATGTCAAATTCATTTTTTTTCGTGCAAGCTTCAGTCCAACCCATCCTTTTCTAATTTTTCTATCTTCTTTCCCCTTTCTCCCAGGGTATCTGGGTGAGCACGAAAATAAATTTAGGGAAACTCGTGTTTTTGCATTACGTGCACAATTTGACACGTTACTCGTAGCAAATTTGCACCGACAGATTATTAACGAACTTGCATTAGGCATACACTAGGAGAAACATCTCAAAAATGTTTACGAGAGTTTCAGCTCAGCCTTACATTTCTCAGGACACGGGAAGTTTTATTACTATTGTAAAGAAAACATCTTCTGGTTCAAGGTTGTACAACTGACTAACAAAGTCAGAAGAGACTGCATATCAAAGAAATCACTATAAATCTTACAGAGGAACCTTGCCTAGCACGTCGCTCTAGAAGTTGCATATCTTCATGAGTTATTCACAGGGGACATGGTACATCAATAGATGCTACTAAAACCACACTGCACAAGAATATACCCAATGTATCTGTGTTAATTTATCTCCTCATCTTCCCCTGATGTGAACGCAGTAAACATATGCTTGCAGAGATGATTCTACTTACCATCTCACATTTGAGAGTGAAGAGACCATTGTCTTCCACGAGAGCTGTGTCAGGGCTTTTGCAGCAGATGCAGATTACAAACGCATCTAAGGCATTGAATACATATAAGACAAGACTCCCATCGCCAAAAAAGAAACTATCAAGACCGAAGACTAGTTATGGAATTTACCAACGTATCTCCGGAACACAGCTTGAAAATTCTTAGAAGACACTAAACCCTTCATCTCTAGCCGCTGCTGTTTGTTCAGCGATCCTTTTGTCTCCATTTGGCCAAGCAAGAATTTCATGACATGATCTGGCTTCCTATGCATCCTGAACAAGGTATATTAAAAAGTGATACACCTCCTCAACAACTAAAAGTCAGCGGAAAGATCAAATACGAAATAGAAAAAGTCGTACGTTCTGCAGAGATCAGCAAAGTTTAAACAAACTGTTACCGTCCCTTGTGCAAAGAGCTGAGGAGGTATCATCACTCTTCTTGGCGATTCTGTAGAAACCTCGAGATCGTCCTCGCGAAGCCTATCAAACACCCTACTCAAGAGCTGCGGAGGATATAAAAGCAGCTCGGATCATAATCGAGTAGCAGCCCAGTGAAGAGAAAATCAAAACTACCAATAGCATAAATAAAGACCTCCAATAAGTACCTCCTTATAGCCATAATCCGGCTCAAACTTCTGGCCAGATTGACAGTGTGCTGCATTAGCCTCTGTTGACAAGATCAATTCTAGTAGCTTCAGACACAATTTTAGATTTGGGTACACGATTAACTGATTATCTTCCAACGCAATTCAGTGGAAACCTAATTAGTTACCCGCAAAGTGTCCTCCTTTCTGGAACAAGATGTAGTCTTCGCGTATCAGAGGCTTCCTCTTCTTCTTCTTCTTGGAAGGATCAAATTTACTGATCTACATCAGCAGAAGCTTTAGCAAATCGGAACCCGGAGAAAACTGTTATTTAAGGGGGTGGAGACGCATACCCATGAAGAATCGCTATCTAAAACCTCGAGTTCAAGTTTCCAACACCGCTGCTTTTGCTGCAAATCCATCGCCGCCGGCGGGTCGACGAGTTTCAGCGATGATAGTTTATTATGAAACGAGGGATTATGATGATTGGGCCTGTATTGGGCCCTTTGGGCATTGGAAATATATATTTTTAGAATGAATATATTACAGTGTATAATGTAAATAAAAGGTCGAGTCAAATTTACTTGGGGGATAATTAATTGGTTAAACTTATGTAACAAAAGGTCGAGTCAAAAAGGAGTAAATACTTTTTTGTACAGAGATGGTTGGAGTTAGCGAGGAGCGATGCTGGGAACAAAGCCACTGCTGAGATCGCTTCCTAATAGGCTCGACGATTCATAAAGGTCTCTGGTCGCATTCGATGACGATGTTGAAAGCACTGATGAAGACGATGCCATTTCCACTCTTGCCTCCTTGTCAGGAGCTGCTTGGAGTAGTGCCTCCAGCTCTTTTACTACCTCAGCCATACCCGGCCTCATCTCAGGTGAGTCGTGGCTACATCTTAGTGCCAGAGTTGCAAACTTTTCAACGCTTTCTATTGACCATGGTTCCATTCTCTTGTCTATCAGCGACACCATCATATCCCTCTGATCTGCTGTCTTCACCTCTCGCACGATGTTTTTGCCATGGGATATGGCGTGCATACCAGTCAGCAGCTCCAAGAACACAACTCCAATGCTGTAAACATCGCTCTTGTCTGTCAGCTTGTGTGTCAGGAAATATTCCGGATCTAGGTACCCCTGCAACATTAAAAAAACAAACTAAGAAACGGATATGCTGTGCCAATATATATTTTGCACATCATTCATTTAATGGCTCACTGGAGTCCCACGGACAACGGTCGAGACGTGTTTAGGCACATCTTCTTCGTCCTCCAATACAGGAGCAAGTCGAGACAGTCCAAAGTCTGCAACTTTGGCATTGAAGTTAGGGTCAAGGAGGATGTTACAAGCTTTGATGTCTCTGTGGAACACTGGCGGGTTGGCTTCTGTGTGGAGGTAGAGAATGCCTTTGGCTGCTCCCAATGCAACACGAATCCTCATCCCAAAGCTCAATGACTCCTTCCCCTTGGCTGCATCACCAAACATCCCATCAGTTAAGAAAACTATATGACACACATCCAATAAACCGCCCAAGAATCTTAGTGAATTTCTCTACCAGACAACCAGTCGCGCAGGGTGCCATTTGGCATAAATTCATACACCAGCATCTGCACATTCAGTAACTTCATAAGCAATTATTAAAAATATATATTCAGGCGGCTCTACTGGGTATAAGAGGGTACCTGTTCGCTTTCTTCGTCACAATAACCGATCAGTGACACTAGATTCCGATGATGCAACCTTGACAGCAGTTCAATTTCATTTAAGAACTCTTTTTCACCTTGCAAAGAACCTTCATCTGCTCGCTTTATTGCAGCAACCGTTTTGTCAGATAACACACCTCTGTAAACCTTTCCATAGCCTCCGCGTCCAACCAAAGTTGAGCTGCTAAAATCGTTGGTGGCCTCTGCTAGTTCTTTGAAACTGAAGACTCTTATCCCAGAATTCATCAAGGAAGCCTTCGAGGCTGACAGATCAACCAAATTCAGTTAAAGTTGGTTCTATATTTCAGTGAGATAGATTGGGAATTAAAGATTTGGTTACACTTACATGACCGTCTTCTAGATATCTCTCGCCCGTGTTTGCTGTATCTTTTAAGCAACAAGGCTGCAACCACAGCGGATATCGCAACAGCAGTCACAACAGCCCCTGCAGTTATTGCTGCTAATCGTCCCCAGCTGACGCCTTTCCTTTCACTGTTGAAGTTAACTGAGGAGATGAAGAAGACTTCCACTTAGCAGTCAATCTATATTTGCTTGTGTTAAAAACACTTATTAGGATAAAGAGGCGCACCATATGAATAAGGTCCCTGCAGAGTGAAGTTGAGCAGTTCATACGGGCCGAATAAGTCGCTACCAGGAAATCTCCACGAAGCAAATATGCCTCGGATTCTGAGAATTTCACTATTGTTAAATGTTCTTGTCTTGGTTTCATTAACTTTCGGAAAAAGTTTTAGATACATCCTCAAACGAGGCCCTTTCTCCCATTGATATGAGTCGATCCAGAGTTGATATGGTTCCATCTGAAGGAAATCAGTAACATACTCGCCAAATTGATCGATATATGGAGGGAAGTATGAGAAGCTAGGACTTTTGAGACGATATCCAATTCTGAGAGGCGCTGAACAAAAGCATCGTAATGGGGATGCTGGACTGTATTCGTAGAAGTCAGGAGTGGGACAGGCTAGTGGAGGACAGTCCAGTGCAGAATTAGTTGAGTTGGTAGATAGTGATGTCCACTCTTTTCCTATGGATTCACAGAATAGGTTTGCGTTTGATATGCTTCCATTTTTGCAGATCGGATTACCATCAAGCCTGGAGATGAATGAAACTCTCTGTAATAAGCATTCAAGACAGAAAACAAAAAGTTAGCCAAGGTACAGATGCGACAAAGGACCACCTTAAAGTGACATTTTGTGGAGGAGTTAGATCTCCTTGAACACGTGACAGAGAATTATTCCTAAGATCACTGTAGGAATTGAGAAAAGAAAGGCAAAATTAGAGAAGTTTATGATGAATTACTAGTGAAAGTAAGTGAAGTACGGAAACAATGATTTTACAGTAGTAGTCTAGCTTTCTTCGGAAATGAAATATTCATCCAAAGGGAATCAGGGAAAGATCCTGATAATACATTATTCTTCAGCAACCTGCAGAAGATGAGATGTTTATTTGCCAAGTTTATATCGCTACTCACAAGCTTATTCACTTTGTATATAAAGAAACATCAATATATAACTCACAGCATCTGAAGCAAAGGAAGATCTGAGAAGCTCCGTGGGATGGATCCGTTAAGCATGTTATTTGATAAATTACTGTAATTAACCAGTATAAAACTCAAAGCAGTAAGGTATACGTGTAGACAAAATTAAAGGTCGCCGGTTAAGAAAAAAAGGAAACAGAATTAACAGCTGTATAAAGCATACATGGTTGTCACATCCTTAGAAAGATTAGTAGAAGGTATAGGTCCTGTGAGCTCATTCCAGCTCAGATCCCTGTAGTGAGCCAGAAGCACAAACACATTCACAATATTGGAAAGAAATTCCATACATTGAGTTTGACCACAACTTACAAGTATTTGAGATGACGTATCCTGCTAAAATCAGGAAGTGCCCCTTTCAAACTACAATTTCTAAGACTCCTGTAAGTGCAAAAAGACGAACGTATTAAGTCTTTCTATATCTTTGAAGTGAAACAAGGACTTAGGATAACAGTGGCCCAAAACGTACAGCTTCAGAATACTTGAGAAGTTTCCATAGGAAGCTGGGATATCAGATCCACTGAAGTTGTTATTATCCAGTTGCCTGCAGTAAAGGACAATACCCATAAATCTAACTAATTACTTTCAGAATCACACACAATAGAGAAAATGAGAAACATACAAGATTTGCAGGTTTGGCAATTCAGAAAGTTGCGGTGGAAGATTTCCAGATAAGTTGTTGTTGTCTAGCAGCCTGTAAATTTAGTTTGACCACTGTAAGGCTTTAACCACCATGATGTCACAAATTATGGAAACAGTGGCAACATTGTAGCAAAGACTTACACATGAAAGATGTTAGTAAGATTGGAAAGCTCAGCTGGAATCTGGCCGCTCAACGAATTATTGTTGAAGTGACTGTACAAGGCCAAAATAAAAAGATATGAGAAGCTAATGAAAAACCTGCGGACTAAGGTTGATATCACTGTCTGTCTTGATGTTCAGACTCACAGATGCTTCACTTTTTTCAAGTTGGAAAAGGACTTTGGTATTGGTCCGGTGATGTTATTCTCATCTATCTGGAATCTGTTCAAGTTCGAAAGATAGCCGAGTTCGCTTGGTAAAGGCCCTGAAAGTTTGTTTCCATTCAGCAGCCTGACCACATATTACAGAATCAGGAGATAAACAAATTGAACACACATGCTTATCAAATATGTTCCATAGAGGACCGATTATTTATCAGGTAGTTCAACTTACAAGAGTACCAGGGATGATATCTGTCCTATCTCGTTTGGAATTGAACCATTTATGTTGTTCCACATGAAATCTCTTCATAGATGCAACAAGAAAGAAAAAAATTCACAGTCAGTAGAAATTGGTGTAACCAAAATATAGGGCGTTCCAAAATCTTTGCAAAGCTTAGTATCTTGAAACTTACAATATTTCGAGATGAACTAATTTTCTGAGGTCTGGTGACAAACTTCCAGAGAGGTTCATATTCATCAGTAGGCTGCTTGGCAATAAAAGAAAGGATCAGAGAAGGAATCCTATTATAGGAATGGCTGGTCACGCAAACAACTGTACCAAGAGAAGAATAAAACAGACAACGGAACCGGCTTCTCCTAAAATTTAAGCCCGTTAACTCCAGCATATATACAGGCAGACTAACAATGAAAGCAAGAAGGCACATAAGAAGAAGAAAAAAAGAGAATCAAATAAGCAAATCATACAGTTCTCGGACATGCAGGTAGTCGTCAGTACCAATCTCATCAAAGCAGATAACTCCTGTCCAATTTGATCTGCAAGGGTCTCCTCTGTTCCAGTTTCTCAAATTATCTTTAGGGTCGATTAAACTTCTCTTAACTAATCGTAAAGCAGTGACTGAGAATGGAAAAGAGAGTTGGCCAGAGTCGAATTTGGAATCAGTAACGTTCCTAGTTTTCAGAAAAAGAAAGAACAAGTTTTAAACTGCAGTCACCTTCTGAAGGGTCTGTTCTTAGTGCATCAGCAAGAAGAAGAAGAAGGCAACAACACGCAACAAGGAGCGCATGTTGATAGACGCTTAGAGGCAACACCATGATACCTTTGGAAAACATGACAGCGTGAGAAGCAGATATATACAGATTTAATCAGTGTTCGTTTTTAGGAAGATGATAGATCGATAGATACCAATATGTGAATGGTTCGAAATACGAGGAATTTAGATCAAATCCAGGAGCACAAGGTGCTCGTATTTATGACAGAAAAAGACACAGCAGCAAAAATTCAACTCAACGCATTCATGAGCTCAAAGACAAGATCATTACCTCACTCTGTAGATCAGCTAAACCCTGAAGAGAAAATTTTCCAGAAAGGGAAGCGGATAAGAATCCCAGAAAAGGCTACAGGGCGGGCACGTCCCTGGAAGGAACCGGCGAGTAGTAAGTCAATATATGCAGACGGCAATGCAGATCAAATAAAATCAAAGGGTACTGATCATCGGGAAAATGATGAGGGAGGGGAGAGAGAGAGAGAGAGAGAGGGAGAAGGAAGAAATGACCTTGATGGAGTTCTTGGTTTGGCCTTGACTTGTCTGCCATTAAAAAAATCCGAAAAGCTTAAACCTTTACAAGGGTAAAAAGTGAGTAACTGGGTTGACTCTACCTGCTCGCCCAGAAGCACAATCGTGCCTCGTGCGTGAGCTTTTTGACAAAACATAAAAGGAAGCCATTACCAGAGCGGAACCCCCCGCGCTTGCTCTTGCGGGTCTTTTTCCTTGTCATGTCCAACTCCTTTCTTCAGTCTTCGGTCTTTCGTTCGCTCGTTGCACGTGTGAACGCAATTATTTATTACACTAACAGGTAAAGCCCATTTAGGCTATAGACCCATAAAGTTATTTGGTAGGCTTGCAAATTTGTTGTATAAGGGCCCATTTAGAAATGGATTATAGAAGTCAACCTTTGGGATTGGATCCACAAATACACAATACAATTCCTCCAACAAAAAAACTCTCAACCGTTGATTCACAGACAAATTTCTCATCATCTCTCTCGTCTCGTCTCCTCTCCTCAGCTCGCCGGATCTCCGTTGTCTTCTTCCTCTGGGCTCCGTTTACCTCAATCCCCTGTTTTATTTTGAAGACTCCGTGGCATATACGCGACTCTTTGAGTCCCTAGTCAAAGCGATCGCCAACTATTCCCCTCTTATCTAATGTCTTTCTTTAGGGTTTCCTACACAATATGAGCTAAATACGATTTGATTTCACCCAAAGTCCTCCCCTCTGTTTTTTGCTCGCCCTTGCTGGTAGGTTTCTTGCACGCTTTATTCCTCTTTCTTCCCCCCTCCCCCTCTACACTCTTTGCTTTATCTATGTTGAAAACGCCTTTTGTTAATCATCTTTGATTTGTTTAGGGTTTTCTTTTCCGGCCTATATGGAAACGCCCGGATCCAATCATGACGCCTTCAGGGGTTCTCCTCGTAGAAACTCCATCCTCTCTGCTTCTAACATCATCCAAGCCCCCATATCAACCTTGTTAGAGTATTCAGGTCTCTTTCGAACAAGGCCAAGTCCTAGTCCTGAGGCTGAAACCTTGGTTAGTGATGATTCTGCTGCTATCTCCAATGGGGAGGTTGCCATTAGGATCATTGGAAACGGCGAGCAGGATGCTGACAACGCTCTCAGGGATTCTGGTAGCCATGTACAGGCTGAAGTTTTGGGCTCTGCTACTCAGGTTGATCCCATGGCTGCTGCAGAAGCTGCTCCAGCTGAATCTCTTCCTGGAGATGCCGCAAGCCGGGATTCACCTTACCAAAGATATGATATTCAGCAAGCTGCACGCTGGATTGAGCAAATTCTTCCCTTTTCTTTGCTTCTGTTGGTTGTTTTTATCCGCCAGCATTTGCAGGGTATATCTCTCTTCTTCTACCTCTTGTGTCTTTTCTTTTCGCCACTTGTTTCCATCTCATGACTCTGTCTGTTTGGCTTTTCCTGCTATCTCTCAGGGTTCTTTGTTGCAATTTGGATTGCTGCTGTCATGTTCAAGTCAAATGATATTCTCAAGAAGCAAACAGCGTTGAAGGTTTAATTTTGCATTTTCTTAGTTTCTTTCCCAGTTCAAATTTCAAATTAGTTAGTCTAAGCCTCAAGCACGTCACTTATTTTCATTACAGGGTGAGAGGCATATTTCGGCATTAATTGGCATCTCTATAGCGTTTACGGCCCATGTTGTTGGTGTTTATTGGTGGTTTCGGAAGGATGACCTCTTGTATCCCTTAATCATGCTGCCTCCAAAGTCCATACCACCTTTCTGGCATGCCATTTTTATCATAGTGGTGAATGGTCTGTTACTTTCTCTGCTGTATTATTTCTGCTGTCTTAATGACTCTTGTTTCATCAGCTAACTGTTCATCTCTTCTTTAATTTATCATCACAATATATTTCACATTGTAGTATCCTGTTGGATCATTAGTGCTTACACGACTTTTTCTTGTGCCTACATTCCTCAGATACACTTGTCCGGCAAGCCTCAATGATTTTCAAGTGTTTTCTCTTGATGTACTACAAGAACAGTAGGGGTCGAAACTATCGTAAACAGGTGATATAGAAAGAAAAATAATCTTCTCTGTATCCTATATATTTTCAGTTTAACCTAACCTGTCTCACTGCTCGTCTGTGATTTACCTTTGGCAAGCTATACATAATTTTGTTATTCACTTTCTATGCAGGGCCAATTGCTAACTTTGGTTGAATATTTGATGCTTCTCTACCGCTCTTTACTGCCTACCCCTGTATGGTACCGTTTCTTCTTGAACAAGGATTATGGAAGCCTCTTCTCCTCTCTTATGACGGGATTGTATCTTACTTTCAAGCTCACTTCGGTTGTTGAGAAGGTAGGTCTTCTCTAGAATTTTAGACTCCTATCTTTTTCTTTAGATTTGTGGAAGCTGAAGGGAAATTGGGAATGAATTTCAGGTTCAATCCTTCTTTACGGCATTGAAGGCTTTGTCACGTAAAGAGGTGCACTACGGATCATATGCAACTACAGAGCAGGTACAAATTAATTCATGTAGATTCACAGCTGGTTTATGCCTCTTAAGGTTTAAGCCCACATGAGCAAAGAAGTGTCTTTCTAATGTGTGCAGGTAAATGCGGCAGGCGACCTGTGTGCCATCTGCCAGGAAAAGATGCACACCCCAATTCTTCTTCGCTGCAAACACATGTTTTGCGAAGATTGCGTTTCAGAGTGGTGAGGTGTTTGTGCATATAGCAATTGTCTTTGTGTGTGTATCTGGATGTTGAAAATGTGAACTGATTATGATTGGGCAGGTTTGAGAGAGAGAGGACGTGTCCTTTGTGCAGGGCCTTGGTCAAACCAGCAGATCTTAAATCCTTCGGTGATGGATCCACCAGCCTCTTCTTCCAGATTTTCTGATTAGAACACATACACGACTACACAGTAAAAAGAAAAAGACCCTCAAGACTCACATGCTCACTCGATAGATTTCTTAGAGAGTATTTCTATACAATGCCATTCAAGCTGTGAACGAAAGATAAAGACACCACTGATGCCTTGAGATGTTTATACAATGTCATTTGTTAATATGAAATCACCTTTATATTCCGTAGCAAAATTAATAATCTGATACCATCGTGAATGCACGAGCAAGACAAAAACAAATAAATAATGTCAATAAATCAAGTAGCTGAAACCACACTTTCAGTTTCACATATAGTGTTGTCTTCAGCGACTACAAAAATCTCTTTAATCACCTCTTGTTGTGTCGGAGACTGGCTGCGCTCAGCAGGTGAAGAAGCCATCGTAGCAGATACGAAAGGGTAAACATGTGTGACCTCTTCACTGCCCTCATCTATGTACACAACGTCCTGCATCGTGAGCTGGTGGTATTCTACTATCTCCCTCAAGAACCGGTTCTCCCTCGCATAAATCGAGTTTTCATGAGCCAACCTTGCTTTCTCTGCTAGTAGACTCTCCAGCTGGAGCCGAATCTGACATAACAGCATCCACACCGAGTAGTTAGATGAAATGCAACATACCAATTATTACGACATGAGAGCTCACACTAATGTTTACCAAATCTTCGTCTGCCGGGTTGTTTCCTTTCTCACGGTGATTCTCCCTCAGGTGTTTGTTCTCTTCTTCAAGCTGAGTGCAACGCTCTTTCGCAAATGCAAGATCTGCTTTCACAGTTTTCAGCTCGCGGAGGAGGAGTTTTGCTTTAGCAGCGGTGGCCATTGCCACCTACAGGTCAGGCGAGAAACTATCAACGAACAAAGCTATTATAAATGGCTAAGTAACTAATGAAAAGGGTGGACCTTACATCGCGAGATGCCTTGAGTTGAGTTTCATGTTCCATATGATTTAACTGCATTGGCTGCTCGGGAGACTTTTTCCATGAGCTACTTACTCCATAAGATTGGTTCTGATTCTCATCTTCACCACCAGTTCCTCTTCGTCTGGTTTGAAGTTTTCGTGTTTCCTGGATGATATCAGCTGTTTTGTTCTCAACGAGTGTTCGGCCTTCCTAAAGAAACAAGGAACAGATCTAAAACAATTCAACCAAAAAGAATGGAACACCGGAATGCCAGAGATGATTAAAAACCTCAAAGGCTTTCTCAAAAGTGTCGCCGATCTGATTAAGAGAAGATGTAAGCTTATCCAGCCCTCTCCGAAGCTTGGGATTATCCATTTTCTTGAACCCTTCATCTGATAGGTATGAGAACCGGGACTAGAAATAAAGACCAGAACCATGATGACGTCAAATCAAGAGGATGGATCATGAATGTACTTGAAATCAGCTAAAACAAAAAACCTGAGAAGCTGTTGAGGTATCATTAGATTTATCATCTTCAATAACAGATTTTGCTTTCTGGGCTATGACTCCCCACAAGCCCTTTGGCTCGGTCGCGTATGCCGCAAAATTCTGCAGTAGACATGCCCAGAAAACATAGGATCAATGGGAGAAGAAAGATCATGATCCGCAGTTTATTATAATCACCACTCCGAACACAAGTTTGGATGAAAGCATATTAGCATTACACGCTACTTAACGCAGCTGAATCTGATCAGAAAGTTGAGCATTAACACAGTCAAAAGTCGTCAAAGATTGGTCACACTACTACTATGTGGATAATAGAGCGGGATCACGTAAGATGCAAGAACGTAAAGCAAATCAGCTGAGGGTCAAAAGGAGAAACCTTAGATCTGGGTTGGTCAAAAGCAGGGGACTCACGGTCACGGAAGGATGAAGGCGCTGTGAAGGATCGAGCTGGCGGTGATCTGTCTTTGACGGCGGAGATTCTCTCCGGTGGAAGCTGATCAATCTCCTCACTGAAAGTGGCAAACTTTCCGATCCCCTGCCTTCTCCTATACGCCATATGTTAGGTTCCAAGTCTCTCTATTTTCGTTTTCTTTTTTTGATTTGTTCTCAAAGGGGGAAAAACAAGTTATTACAGCTTAGAAAGTGAGAAATTAAAAAAAAAAAAAAAGTATAAGGACAAATTGATGGGTGCGGACCCACGAGACTCGAAGAAAGAAAACCAGTGATTATTTAGTTTTTGTTAATGTGTCCCTTGGACAACTCAACAGGATCTGTGAGTTTTGTCCTAAAGACTAAACTAAATCAGCTTTCTAAAGAGAACATCACCAAATCAATGTGGAAGCATCTTTATTCCCAAACCCAGCTCAAACTTCAATACCATTTTGTCTTTCTTTAACAAGATCCCCAAGTGATAGAAATCTGGTCCAATTTAGTAGGCTTTTGACGATTCACCAACACACATCGACCTAAGTTATGGATTTACTGGAACTCTCTTAGAGTCTCATCTCCTTTGACGTTTCTGCTTTTTCCTTTTTTACCTCTCTGTGAGATTCTTTTACCAAAACCAACTGGATCATCCATCTTGAGAATCTCAAAACACCCTTTTTCCCGCCCACTTCATGTACTGCACTAGCACGAGCCTGTATGATTTGATGGCCATCCATCCATGCTCCTTCCTCTTTAATCTGTTGTTGGATGATTTTGAAAGCTGATTGTATAAGATAAATGTTCTTTCTCGTTAATCAGTTTCTTTCTTTTTGTTGGGCAATTTCACAGAACTTTATAGGAAACTAACACTATTTTAGGACCCTCTTCACGAGTCGGAGACTTTAGTTGCTCCTATAAGATAAACGTGAGAAGAAGAAAAATAAAGATGAGAAATTTACACAACATCCCACATCCGTCGTCGTTGACCCTCTTTTCCGCCATAAAATCCCAACGCCCAGTTTCTGCCATTTTCTTGCATCGAAACCATCCTTGTTTGCTTGGAGGGATGAAGACTCCTTCCTAGGCTTTTGTAGGATCTGGCGTTTTTCTTAGGTAATGTTTTCTTTCGATCCATAAAATTTGCCTCGAGAACTTTTTTTTTGTTTTGTTACCTCACCTTCTCCCTTTTTTCTTCTTAAATTCGAGCAATTGGAGATAGCGTGGGGGTGTATACACTATTCATATGGTGTGATCTAACCCTGCTTGGTCATGCTTTCAATTATTTTCCCCCTTTTCAGACCTCAAAGTTGCCACCTTTGGATCTGATGGAATCACAACCTCAGAGACCTTCTGAGGGTCATCCCATGGATACCAATCCAATCCCATCTTCGGCGTGTAATCTGTGCGGAAGAGTCGTTCAATCTGCTTCCGATGATCTTGAAATCTTTAGCTTATGTGTAGACTGTAAGTTTTTGTTGCTTGAAGATTTCGGCACCCCCGCCCCTCCCTTGGCCCGGAGGCAGACTGCTCGAAGGAGGAGGAGGAGGATGAGGAGAAGGATAAGTAGGCACGCGAGCTCTGAGTCTGTCGGTGATCTTTCCACCCAACAGTTCACACACTTGATAAGCATGGCAAGACAAAGCCTTTCAACGGTTCATGGTAGTGATGACCAGCGAACTAGCTCCCATACCACTCCTAGTGGTTCGACAAGATGGAGACTTTTCTCAGAATCTGAAAGTGAAGATTTTGACAACTTTGGTGAAACCGAATCAAACGCTAGTTTTAACCTCTACAGATTTTCCCATGGTGATAATGATGTCATTTCTTTTAGTGCTTACGGTGGAGAGTCCGATGCTTCCACGGACAGGCATGGTTTCCTTGATACAGAAATCTTTGTTCAAGCAGACGACATGAACGATATTGACTTTGAAACTGATATAGACCCGATGCATGCTGGTCTGAACCAATGGAACTCAGACGAAGAAGACAGGGATTGGGATGAAGGAGCGGGTCCATCTGGGGTTGCAGGAACACGGTATAGAAATTATTTGGCAAGTCCAAGTGAGAGCTACAGCTCTATGACTTGGTTTGATTCACCTGACTTAGAAAGAGGGTTTCGTCAAAGAATTATTGAGAGGAGGCAGGCGTTATCTCGCAACATTTTTACTGGTTTGGAGGATATGGAGTTCTCTCCCTATGCTGCAAATGTTGGGGATTATCTTGATGAGAGAGGCTTTGAGGAACTGCTTGAGCAACTTGCCGAGGCTGATAATTCAAGAAGAATTGCACCACCTGCATCTGTGACTTGCATCAGGAATCTTCCAAGGGTTATCACTGGAGAGGATGATGTAAAGAAGGGCCTAGTCTGTGCTATCTGCAAGGAGCTTTTCTTCGTCGGCAATGAAACCACACAGCTTCCTTGTCTACATCTATATCATGCTCATTGTATCGTACCGTGGCTGAGTTCCCATAACTCCTGCCCACTCTGCCGTTACGAGCTCCCAACAGATGATAAAGATTACGAGGAGGGAAAGCAGAATGTGTTGGATGTGAGCGCGGATAGCTCCTCCTTTGATGATGGCACAGAAGCGGGCGAAGAGGAATATGTTGAGAGAGGTGAGAGTGAGCCTCGGGTAAGCAGAGTCAGCACAGGAAGATGGCTGTTTCTGGCTGCTGCACCAGTTGTGGGTCTGGTGGGGGTTGTGTTGGTAATGTGGCTAAGCAACCCTCAGAGAAGGGATATAGCAGTCTCCCATAGCCAAAGGGGGAGCAGAACCAGAAGATGGCTGCCGTTTTTCTGAATGATTCCCATTCCTGTTGTACCTCCAGAATCTGTATTTTATTTACAGACGTAAAAGAAGATTGTAGTTTTATTTGCTGTTTATTGACTTGTACTGTTTCCACATGTTAGTTTAATTGAAGTTTAACCAAAGTTGTGCTGTTTTGGCCTGTGTTGCAAATAAATATATCCAGAGGAAAAAGCGAGTGTCCATCAGTTGATAATAGTTAAACTTACATTTACACAGAAAATAAATAAAATAACTTTGGATTGGTACATGCACATATGAGATGCCCTGTATTTACAGCGAAAGAATTCAGAAGAGTATGTTGATGTATAGTTTAGCTACACGGTAAAGGCAATCGCATGGTCTCTTATGAGTCTTGATCATCGGATTGACAGATAATACATGAACAGAACAATTTGCTTCAGTTTCAACTTCTCATAGAGGAAAACAAAGATCTGTGTAATCTACATCACAGGTCAAAATATGAAAAAAAAAAAAAAATCATAAGGACCAACTTTATATAAGATAAAATACTCCTGAACCATTGAATTAAATCCATAATTGCATTTCCACCTTGCTTTTCCTTGAATCCGTTCTTCCTCTAGGTCCGGTGTTCTGTACAGGCAGGCGAACTTGAGCAGGCGAAATGTCCTTGGGGAAATTCTGAGTAAGCAAGGGGACTTGCTCTGGAGCAGCATCTACTGGCAGGTTTTTCAAAGGAAGATTTTCTTCTTCAGCATCAAACCCTTCTGGAGGAGGAGCAAACATCTGGTACACATATGTGTAGAGGATGATGGCACCAACCTGACATAAAAGTACAAACTTACGGTTAATTAATGTTCCTCAGAAATAATCACCTGGGAAACTACATGATTATTTAAATCCATAGACACTGATGACAAACAGTAGATTCGAACTAAGGATCCTAAACAAAATAGTGTCAATGCGGCTACTGTTCTCATACATCAAGATCCTCTTCATCAAAAACGGAAAAAGCAGAAAGCGAAGAAACTGTGTCAGGAGACAGCAAAGACATAAACTGGAGCAGCTAATGCTATGATTCTAGTAAGTAGTTTGAAGAGCGAGAAAGCCTACCCATTGACCAAAGGATATATAAGCAGTGCCATCAATGCTACATTTTTCGGAGTCACCTAAAGGGTTGGAGGTATCCCTACATAGGGCCGCTAGTAAAACAAGAGGTACGTTGCCAATGTTACCTGAAACAAACGAGGCACATAAAGTGAGACTAGTGTGAGAGCAGAAAAGCGAGGGTAGGGTAAGTGTGTTAGGAAAAAGAGTCTAACCAACTCCAATTTGTATGATTGTAAATTTGAAATAAGGGTATGGCGGACGAATGATGGTAGCAACAATGAAACCGATTATCGAGCCTGAGATGGTGCCAAGAACAACATTCGGAAGATGCCATTATGGAGCTATGGTGTATAGAAGGACATATACAAGGGACTAAGATGGATGGAAACAAACCACTGAAGCATTTTATGGAGAGTGACGGCTTGTCCGAGCTGGGAAAAGATCAAGCAGGGAAGCAAAAGCGAGAAGACCAACTGTATGCCACAGTAGCAAAGTTTGCATTTTTGTTTTTTTTGGAAAAAACAAGTTCAAGGATGGGTTGTACAAAGTAAGAGAAAAACAAAAAAATAATTGAGAAGAGGCGCGGAGAATTACCCCGTTCAAGAGTTTACGGCCAGAGGGAGGCAAAATGTTAACGTATTTAGAGGCCATGAGAAGACCCAAGAAGCACATGGTAAAAACCTTGGCAATTGGCATCACAGCGATTTTGATTGTACCAAGCACTGATTCACCAGCAGCAGCAGGAATCTCCATGGAATCTGCCAAGGCGGCAAGGATCCGGGATATCATTCTAACAATTCCTAATGCCAACGCAAGCTAAAAAGCAGCAATTTTGAGGGTGGACTTGGGTTAAAATCTGGAGGAGGGGGAGGGGAATAACAGAGAAATAGAGTCTCTCTGTCGATTGATTTGGGGAATATAAAAATGATAGAACCGGATTCGGTCTATCAAGTAGAGTAACAGAAATAAGATGAGATACAGAAGAAATATAGATTGAAGGTGAAGAAATCAGAGGAAGGAAGGGAAGAAGAATAGAGACGACGAAGAACATTGTTATTGATCTTTTTCGATAATCGTTTCCAAAGACAAGATGTTACTCTAAATACAAAACCTAACAAGGCCTCATTAGCCCGAGCCCACTAAAGCCCAGATAAGAGGTGTTTGTAACAAAATCTCAGTTTGACTTAGCCTTAAATCTCAGTTTGACCTGACTTGGGAGGGAACACACATCTTTGTTAAGATCAAATAGAAATATATATTTTCATATGGAATTACAAAAGGGATGATATTGATGATGCCCTTGGATTTGGAGCCAACACCGATACCTTCTCGTCCAGCATGCATGATTCTTTAGGAAGGGTTTTATGATCAAGTTCGTAGAGGGGAGTGGGAGGAGGCATTGCAGTAAGCGATGGCTGCCTTGAGGGAATCTTCCGTTAATGCTTCCTCGTTGTAATTAGTGCTGCCTTCGCAGTAGTATCGTAGGAGGCTCTTGTTTCGTCTTCTGTGGATAACTTGGAGGACCCACTTCTCTCCCACGTTCACTTTCTCTCTTATGACTCCCACTATACTCAAACATCCCAGTTTCATCATCAACCTCGTCAGGCTGCTATATGCAGAGAAGCAGGTAGAAGCCGATGATAAGATTGTTGTCGTCTGCATTCCGTTCTCCGGAGATTGGGAAGAAGAGATGCTCGATCCTGCGGCTGGTTTGTTGATTTGTATCTCGATGAAAGATTCACCATCCTCGCTGCTATCCAACACTTGATTCATCCATCCCACTTCGTTCTTCATCCTATTAATTAGCGTCATTGGAAGATTTGATCTTGCTTCTCCTAATTCCCATCAATATATTGGTGTGTTTTTCTAATAACAATAATCAAATAATATTAAATTTGATCATACAGCTAGCTAGCAGCTCACACCTCCACTGCATGTATCCAGGGAGCATATATGCGCATGTGAACACACATATACACACTTAATACAATTATATACACATGAGAAGAAGACATGATTAATCAAATAAGAGGGTATATATATTTCTATAATCGTCAGACGAAATCAAAGCTCTCGATGGGATCATCGGGGGATTAGTTGGTACAATACAATTGGAGACTTTAATAATACCCCCTAATAATATCACAAAACTGTATATAGCTAGCGGACCCAGTCCCCAGCAATCAATTGATCGCCTAACACACTGGGGAATCGCATGCATGTATGCTATATCACATGTGAGATATTCTTTCTTATATACGATATATATTTGACGAAAATAATTAAATCAGTTCTTTCTTATATTGCAAAGTAATTTTCCTTTTTCATTATTGGATGTAATCAATTTTGACAAAGAAAGAAACAATGGAACAAGATTTCGTATACAATTTTGGTTCAAATTTGATATAAACCCGGGGGATTTTTAAGCTCAGAAAAAATAAATTGTATGAGTTAAAATTATGTAGGAGATCATATGAGCTAAATAGTTTAGTTGAAGCGAAGTCTTCCTCCCGGATGCATGTGCAACAAATAATCAACCTACACTAGGTTCGGATCCGCGCTACAGCGCGGAGGAAATAATTACATATATATAACTTTTATCGGATTAGAATATGTTACATTTTAATTTTGTTAGAGTGCAGTAAATATATGATTACGGTAAATCATATATTTGTATAATAAGTTTAAATAAAATAAAAAAGGAAAAAACGAGTAAATAATCATATACTGAGTTTTGATACAATTAAAAACACGGTGAATATTTAATAGCACGAAATAATATTTGTCGATAAATTATTCATTTTGACCATTTTTGTAGTAAAAGTAGGAATATACGTAAAAATTACATATTTACAATATATTTTTTGAAGTCCAACCCGTAACAGAATTCATTTCCTAAAAAACATTATTTGTAACTCGTTTTATCATTATAATTGTGATTTTAACAAACTACCCGTGAATTATCTAAAATTTACATAGTTTGATAAATAATATATATTATCAATAAAAATTATGTCTCCAAAATTACATTTATGTCTTCAAAAAAATATTTCGATATTTTAAATTCTAATAATTTTATATATTTGAACCTTTTATTTATAATATTTTGAAACTATTTGAAATATTAAATATGCTCATGTAACAATGGTTTTAATATTGGTCATACTTATAATGATTTTAAACTGTTGTCCAAAATATTTAACCGAGTGTAGTTGAGTATTATATGTCCGTTTTGAAAAATTCAAATTGCAACATATGCAAAAAAAGTTAAATTTTTATTAAATATTTATATTATCTATATATAATAGCAAACCCACTTTTTGTTTACTGCTGATGTCATCTTTTGAATCTAACGGTTCAGATTGTTTTTCATTTGATCTAAAGGTTATTGTTTAATCTGAGTATATATAAAAGTAAAAATTGTGTCTTTCTAAAAGGATGTGTCTTTCAATTGTGTCTTTTTAAAAAGATGTGTCTTTTAATAAAAATACCCCTGTAATTTAATCTATGCAATGTTTCACAATCACACTCTTTCATTCCATATATAAATATTCTACAGCTTGATTGTTTTGTTTTATTTTATTTACAAATTTATTTTCCTGAAACAATTGTTTCTTCAAATTTTGGTTTTCCAATCCTATTTGACTTTAAATTTGCTTAGCCATTATTATCTAAAGGTATTAATTGTTATTACCTTTTCGTGAATTAGTTGCTCAAACCCACTTTATATGATTGCTGAGATCATCGTTTTAATCTAATGGATGAGATTGTTCCCGTTATGTCATCTAACTGGTTATATTTGTTAATGATCCCAAAAGTTGCAAAGTTTTATACCCAGCAATTGTGTTTATTCGTCGTACCCCTAGCTTAAAATTTTTGCACCTGTTATTTTTTCACACCTCTTTGTTTGTATATATAGATTTCTGTGGATCTTGAAAATAAATTTTGTTTCTCTGAGTATTGTTTCTCTGAGTATTGTTTCACACCTTCGAGATTAAAAAAATCTGAATATTCTTTTTTCGATTTATTAGTCTTCATTAATTAACGATCTTCGTTTAAATATGACTGATTTATTTATTGATTTCCTTATTCAACCTCTGTTTGGTGTCGTTTTCCATCTTATACATGCATTGATCATATCTTCAATGTATTGATATAGGTAATTAATTTTGACTATCAGCCTACTTATTACTTTTTTGTAAATTTCAATAGAATAATGATTTGAAATTTGCTTTATGTGAATACCTTTCATATATCTTGTTAACATTGTTCTCTTCTTGTTACTGAATCGATTTCTGTATTTGCAACAAAATTATTAATTGATTAATTTAACTTCAAAAAAAGTATAAAACTCATATAAAATGTAGTAACATGGCCATAGATTTACACTCAAACATCATCTGGTTTGTTTTGTTTCATCTTCCTCATTTTATTTTATATTTTGATAAGCCTTTAAACTTATAATTTCTACTCCCTTTTTTATTGTTTGATTAGTGACTTCACTAAAATTTTATTGTTTAATTATACTTCTAAATTTCTACAAGAATCAGTTACAAATCATTGTTTCTAATTGTTGTGTTTTATTTATTTATTTATTATTATTAAT